ACCAAATTGAAGGATCATCAACATGATATCCAACATGATATCCAACACCTAATTGGTGAATTAATCCAAGCAAAAAATTGAATATCAATTAAAACTCTAATACAACACCAGTAAAGTCTTAACACACTGAATTGAAGCGAGAAGGGTGACTGAAACTTGTAAACCACCCAAACTACTTGAACTATGATTGAAGAGCAAATCACCGGTGTAAAGCTAAAATAATAATAAAAAAAGGGGTGAGATTTAAGATACCTTCCCAATCAAACAATTTTGAGATCTTGAAGGTCAACAATATGACCACCCAAATCATGGACTCCAGCGAGCAATTGAAGCCATTCTTGTTTCAGCAGAATCACCCAATGAGTGAAGATTGTTTTTGGGCTATCTGTTCGTGGTTAATGGCAACTTTTGAAAACTCGAGGGATTTTTGCCATTAGTTGGCGAGGTCCGTTGGAATACCTCTGAGGCTGGTGATGGTTATAACCTCAATTGAAGACCGCTTAGGTTTGAGGGCAGATGGCGAAGGTTTTAAGGTGGGCCATATACGCTGAAGGTTGTGGTTTTTTTTCCCTTGGTAGTGGCGAGTTTTAGTTGAATAGATTTTGTCAGTGGCCGCCTACTTCCTGTGAAGAGGCAAGCCAAAGACAGCTGACAGTGGTGAATAGTTGTGAGGTTGCTGGCAAGTGGCCAATTGATGAGACAGTCCGAAGAGACAATTGAAGTAATTGATTGCAGTTGATGGTTAAGGTGGTAAACAGTGATGGCAGGTCCCTTATGCGGACATGTTGAAGAGGAGGGTTGCATGATGATGAAAATTGTGGGTATGCCTTTTTATTTCCAGCTAGTGATGTTAAGAGAGGAGGCCCTCCGATCTGCCAGCATTTACACCGATGACAGGAGGCTTGAAATTTGAATTTCAAATCTCAACACACTTGCTTAGTTTGAGTACTTGTTTTGCTATATGTTGTAATGTTAGTTGTACAAGTGAGGTGTGGGTGGTACAAGAACACTCCAGAAGGGTGTAGAGGTAGTAGGTTCTGTTTAGCTTATATAAATAAGAGAGGGGAAGGCCTAAGGGGATATCTGAATTTTTTGTTATTCAGTGTTGGGCAAAATCCTTGGAGAGAGTCTGGACTCTCGTCACCAGTACACCATTGTATTTTGCATCCTCTTTTTGTTCAATTCAATCATCTGACTGGAGGAGTATCTTCTTGAAATTCTAGCCAATTACAGTTGTGTGTTTCCTTAAGGGATCATCTTATTTAGATAAAGCTGAATCATATTTGCTCAATCTAACACTGGAGCAATTTTCAATTACAGTCAAGGATGCTTCTGGAGCCAGAATTAGTTCTTGAAGATGTGAGTCAAGATCATGCCCGCAAAACGGTAAGCAGTAGATGCTTGTTAGCCACAAACTATTGGACATCTCAAGTCTTTCTGTTAGTTGGCTATGGTAATACTGAAGTTTATGATGGTCAGGTAACTATCGAAGACCATCCACACATACCCGGGAAACATGCATCTGTACATCCATGCAAACATGCAGCTGTGATGAAGAAACTAATTGAACCACTGATAGCTGGAGGAGTTGAGCCACAAGTTGACAAGTAAAGTCTTAAATAATAATTTCCAGTCCAGGGTGTATAATTTTATATATATAGGTAATAGGTTCGTGTCCTGATTAATTTAGAAATTGAAACTTGTGGTGGTGCAGGTATCTCTTCTTATTCTTGAAATTTGTTGCTACTGTTATTCCAACCATCGAATACGATTACACCATGGACTTTGACCTCGGGGGGAGCTCCAGTACCTGATTTCAAGTTTCAAGTTTCAAGTGAAGTTACTTTGAAATATGATGTATTGTTTTTTCTTCTTCTTGTACTTGTGGGTGGCATGTTTATCTTGCTTCGGGGTGCAAAGCTAAAGCGGTTTAAATGAAATTGGGTTGGGTTATGGTAAATAGATATCTGCCTGCAAAAACCAACTGCTTGTAGTGTCTTGATATGGTGTAAATTGTTGTTGGAAGTATTCCAATTTAAATATTTTTATTTTTAGTTTTATAATGGAAGAAACTAAAAATATGTTGTATGTATTAACCATTAAGCGTTGATGTTATTTGATGCATTTTTTTAATTTTAATTTATTTCTTGATTTTCTCAACTTCTTCTTTTGGTATTAGAGCATTTAATTGGTTCAAAAGTATTAAAATACTTGTTCTTAATTGGTGAATAATAATAATAAATAAATAAATAAATAAAATCACCTTATTCAAATCATCTATTTATTATTTCTAAATTGTATGAAAAGGTAATGTGTGTGATACTTGATTCAAACTCTCGTTAAAAATTTGAATGTATGGTTTACCTAATGACACACAAATGATGATGACTAGGATTAGGTTTTCTATCGTATGGCATTATTTATTTATATTTTAAATGCCAACTAAGAAAATAAATTCCATTTTTTTTTTCAATTAAGCAAAAAAATTCCATATTATTATTTTTTCTAGAATGTATCACAGTTTTCTTAAAAACTAAGAAAATCAAATTAACGTAGATTTTTTTAAGAAATTGAAATTTGTAATTCTTTTTCTCTATTAAAAAATGACCATAAAACTTGTAAAAGTACTTAAATTCTTTTAGGCCTGCTTTTACAACATTTTTGTTAACGAAAGCACCTATTGAAGAAGATTTAGCGATCGAGAGGGAAATTGAGATTCCAATTGAAGAAGAAATTTATGATCGGGAAATTAGGTTTTAATAATTAATGTGTTTTTATTGCTTTCCATGTCATCAAGTTACATCACATATTTTTGTCCGCATCATTTCTAAAAGATACATGTCAGTTTTAATTTGTCGGTTGTATAAGCAAACAAAGTACTTAAAAGTTTAAGATCTCAAATAAAAGTACGCTACCCAAACAATGAATCATTCTAAAATACGTTGTTTTTTCCTTATACAATTTATAGCAAAATAAGCTATGCCTATTTATTTACGGTTATAATATTAATTATATTAAAAATAAGCATGAATATTACATTACATAGTTTTGTTTATACTACAAAAATTATTGTATCAGTAATACTTACAAGTTACAACCACTGTCGAAATCGAAAGAAAGAGAGAATGATTTTCGTATTGGGTCGAGGGTTCGGCCCAATACAAACCCAAACCAAGCCCAATCAAAGCTATATATATATTATATATGTTGCCGCTATCTAAAACCCTAACCCTCGCATATCGTCATTTTTAACGCTGCGCAACAATGGGTATGGCTTTCTTCGTCCTCTCTGTTTCTGCATCTCTGTTTTACATTTTTGTAGGATCTTATATATTTGATGAGAGATCGTGTCTGTATTATCTCTCTTTTTTTTTTCTTTTGTGATTCGATTTGATTAGTTGAAATGCTGCGCCTTTTGGATGGTGCTTAACAGGTGCCTATACCTATGTGTCGGAGCTTTGGAGGAAGAAGCAGTCCGATGTGATGAGATTTATGCAGAGGGTGAGGTGCTGGGAATACCGCCAGCTTCCTTCGATTGTTCGCGTCACTCATCCCACTCGACCCGATAAGGCTCGTCGTATGGGTTACAAAGCCAAGCAGGTAGTTTTCCAACTCATAAATACTCGTATGGGAAAATATATGCATAATAATAATGCCTCCGGATTTGTACATGTTTAGTTGTTTACTGGTCTATGCATATCGTTTTATTCAGACAATATTTAGGTTTAAGATTTTGTTTTTGAAGGTTGGGAAAAAACCATTATTTATGAAAAGATCAAGTTAGAATTGATGATTGATCAGAAGAGTTCGCTACTATTCCCAATCCCATGAAAATGATTTTTGTGAATATTACATACGTGTTTCCCATTTGCTTGATTTTATCGTTTCTAAGTTTTCATGATTCAATTTATTTACAGATTCAATTTCCCTGTTTATGTATTGAATGGTATTTTGGATATTTAAATAGTATCTAACAGTCAAAACGCTTCTTTTTAACTGTGGACGTTCAAAAATTGCCACATGCCTTCTTACATGTTCTAAATCATGCTGTATATTGAGCGTCAATATTGGATTTGTGCAAGTTAAGAATACATTTTGTGTGGATATCAATTTTATTTTGTAATAGCCAATTGATTCTGAGTAGCAAATTGTGCAAAAGCTTCTTAACCCTCCCTCCTCTTACTAAGACTACAGAATGTTCTTGTGAGTTATGGCCAATACCGGGACTATAACTTCTGCAACAAAACCACTCAGACCCAACAATGCAAGGGAAGCCATCAAAAAGCTACTGAACATCGTAAATAAAAAGATGAAATGATTTTTCATTATCCCAATTGAAGTAGTGAGCCTCCCAACGAGTGTAATTTTTTTATTGGATGTTGAAGAATTTTACAGTTGGTGCAAGTAAATCTTGTTCTTAATGCCTTGATATACTTTTGCAAGATTAAGTTATCTTGTTTGACCAGCTGATTGTGTTGGTATTGTAATTTTATGATAATTTAAGTACATGATTTGGAATGTTTGTTCTTTGTATGCCATCAATTAGCATCAAGTTGTTTCCTATGTTTTCATGCCGAGTTTGCAGTCACTGCTCATTTGCTTTAAATGTGACATCCTTATTCAACTATGATAATTTCTAACTGATCTGCTACATAATCTGAAAAATGCATGAGTGATTCCATTCATGCTTATTAATTAGGTTTCATCACTTGTTTGCCAACCATGATGCAAACCAGGTTGGTTTAGTATTCTTATTTTAAGAAGAATTTTGGCCTCATGTTCTCATAGTGTAAGCATCATTTAGGCATTTGTAAACCAATTTCTGAGTTATTTGAAATCTATTCAGGGTTATGTAATTTATCGTGTTCGTGTGAGGCGTGGTGGAAGGAAGAGGCCAGTTCCCAAGGGTATTGTGTATGGAAAGCCTACCAACCAGGGTGTCACCCAATTGAAATTCCAGCGCAGCAAGAGGTCTGTTGCTGAGGAACGTGCTGGAAGGAAATTGGGTGGTCTTAAGGTTCTCAACTCTTATTGGCTCAATGAGGTATGCTACCTACTTCCATTTTATGAAGATGTTTTTCTATCTTCAAAATGTTCTCTAAACAATTGTAAACCAAACCACAGAACATTAGTATTTGTGTTTATATGCAAATGTTAGATTTTTGCAAAATAAGTTTAAGGGTAAAATTTGTGTTAGTTTCTGTCCAGTGTAACAAAGAAACTTTTTCACAATCAATGCTACAAAGATTCAAATATTCCTTGTTTGATGTGACATACTTTTGAAATTTCTTGTTTTTTAATCAATTTTGACTGGTAATTTGCAGATTTTGACATTAAATCTTGTTGTCTATTTTACCGTAACCTTTATGTGAATGGGGCATCAATGTTGTTATAGAATTACATTTCATGCAACAAGTTATGCAAGACTGATTTGTTCAAGTTAATTGAAGTTGTGGTCTTGGATGCAGGACTCGACTTACAAATACTTTGAGGTGATATTGGTGGATCCTGCCCATGCTGCTATCCGTAATGATCCACGCATCAACTGGATCTGCAACCCGGTGCACAAGCACAGAGAGCTTCGAGGACTGACATCTGCAGGCAAGAAATACAGAGGTCTGCGTGGCAAGGGACACTTGAACCATAAGGCACGCCCGTCAAGAAGGGCAACCTGGAAGAGGAACAACACTCTATCCCTTCGTCGTTACCGTTGAAGGACAACTATTTTTATTGTTATCTGCTTGTTTTTTTGTTAGTTTTAAACTTGTGTGTTTTGGGATATTCAACATTTCCTCCAGATATTTTGGTATGAAACGAGCTTTGAGTTTGTCATTTGATGCTTTTAATGCATTACTACTGCTAATGTGACTTGTTTACATGCTAAATCTTTTCTTAATACTGTCAATGACTTATTCCTACATATGGTTTAGGTGGTGGTATGATAGAGGGTTGGTGTTTTATTGTAGGTTGTTTGAGTTTTCTTGGTGTGCTTTTTATCTTTATCTATAATAGCCAATAATATTTCCTTGATTTGTTAGTGATTTAGGCTCTTGGGTTTCATAGGAAGCTTTTGTTTTGCATAATTTTTTTTTTTGATGTAATGAAATCAGTCAAAAGAATTTGAAATGTTGTCGGGTATGATCACTTGTTTGGTTGACAATGAATTGGAATTTGTCTGTTTGGTTTATAGAATGTACCTTTGGAATTTTTATGAAATTTTTGGTAAATTATTAAAATAACCCTTTTGACAAATTCAATTTGTAAATAAATGCATTTAACAAAACAGATTTGCAGAGGATTATAGACACATCTTTTGTATTCGTGATTATAGATTTATTTAAAACATATTTTTATACAGATTTATACAAAACAAATTATATACAGATTTGTAAAAAATTGTATAGAAAACAGATTTATTACAGATTCATCTGAGGTTCTATACTTCAAATCAGAGGAGAAAATAGATTGCAAAAATCGAGTTCAAATCTTGAAATCGACCAGCTATATCGATGGTTTCTGCAATGTCGAAATATGCATTCCACACCTTTTCGCCTATATTATAAGTTTAACATCGATTTTGTTTCATTTGTTTTTTATTTATTTATCATTTTTATAAATTATATTTATTGTATATTTGATATCAACTATAACTTTTTTGTTGCACAATTCCTTGACACCCACTCAGATTTATCCATTGTTCTTTTAAGTAAACTTTATTTAATATCAAAATATGTACATGTATGTTTGATTTATTTTGAGCATTGCTTTTGCAGTAAGTCCATGGAAAGAACAAGATGTAAATCAATAAAGTTCCGGTTATGTATGGTTTAGGATCAAGTCCAAAAAAACAAATTAAATACACAGATAATCAAAATCCTAGTGTGTTATGTTGCTTCATGATCGGAGAAACGTTTATACTAGTATCCTGTAACCCTTTTTAATGAAGGATGTCATGATTTCGTTTGTAAGAAGTTGACTCAAATAAAGTTTATCAAAACTGATGGTTGTTCAATGATGTTACTAGACATACAACGTGAGAGATGGTGGTGCTAACCAAACAACAAAATGTAAAAATTGGTTGCCTTTTCGTCATATGTTGTTGAATCTTCACTTAAGCTCTCAAACTTCGTTTCACTTGTCTTGGATTATATGAGCTCTCAAGCTTCTTTCTTTTTCCTGTACCAAATGAACTTTTTATATAAACGTTAAGTAAAAAACAACGTTTCTTAATTTGTGTGTTTTGGGGTTATGCAACTTAAATATTTGGGTAAAGTTATATGGTTATCGTATATTAAAAATGTCAAGCTCAATCAAGTGTTCACCTTTAATGATGCGATGGCGAACATCCATGTTTGCAACTCTGTTAAGGACTCTTTTTCTTGTTTGGCAATAATGGAAAGCTCGGTTAACAAATAGCACGAGTTCTCAGCCTGTTTCAATAGACAAATAACTTGTATATCTTATAAAAATGTTATGTCGGTATAATCATACCTCAACTAAAAGAAATACCTGCCTGATAATATAATTTGGTAATTGTCGATTCTATATTTTCCAATAGTTGTGCGGCGTTGTCCATCACATCACAAACCACTAAAACATCTCCCTACATATTACCATTATGATTAGTTTCAAATTGTGTTGGTAGCATTAGATGTATTACATACGATTAAAAAGATTTTGAAAAAAAAATGTTCTTTTTACATATGTTCACACATCGGCTGAAAAAGCGTATTGTTTTAAATGTCAATGCAAAAAAAGGTTGTTATAATTTTAACAATACCTTGCAATCATCCACCAATGGGATATTAACTGATGCCACTGACAATTTTCTAACAACTCGACCTATTGCTTCAAAGTTTTTAGCCTCCAATCTCGACCATTTTTCTAGCAAGAATAACTGCGAGTTCATAATATGATATAGTTTGATGTCATTTTGGAGCTTTTGCACTTCCATTCGCTTTGCCATGTTGGAATTTCTTATAGCGAGTATCTTGATCCATGCATTGAACACTTTCTTCTGCATAAAGTTACATTTATGAATGCAAAATACTGAAATAATTGCTACTTACTTCATTTTAAGGGTTACAGTTAATTTGTTAAGGACCATTGACAAGTGAGACCCGTTTAACCTATGAACGATCATAGACAAATGCATTAGAACATGATTAAATTTGTCTGAATTGATATTTAGTGTATCTTTTCATGAATGTAATGTAAATAAATGTTAGTTTCTTTATAATTCATATATATTTTACCTGATAAAACCTAGTTTTAAGCTTGCATAGATTGATTATGATGTTACATTTTCTATACCTGACGATATAACTTAATAACTTCAACATCATCAGTAGTTACAAAATCTATTTATTACACCAAGATTCATTATTATTATTATTATTATTATTATTATTATTATTACACTAAATAAAAACAGATAAAATATTATTTGGTTTTTTGAAATATTGTTATTATAATAGATGGATGGGCAATTGCAATTAAAAGAGGGATGTTATAGTATCCAGGTTAGAAACATGAATCCATGGGTGATAATTACCTGCGCAACAATTTGAAGGGTGGACATGGCGGTCTCAGCTCGAGCATTGGCAAACCTCCATTGTAATAGCCGATTATTCATCAATTTAGACCAACGACGATCTGCTTCTTCTTCTGACGACGCTTTCTTCGGCCTGAAGTAGTTTAAAACTCCACCGATTCCACTACCACCACCACCAACGGGACTTGGAGACTTTGAACAAGGCGCCGATCGCCCTGGGGACAGAGCCCATGCGGTTTTCTTATTTCTGTGTGCCGGCTTCTTCTTAGTATTTATGGTCATCCGATTCTGAAAGTGGATCATGAAATTGGCATCCTTATAAGTTGGAGGTTTAGCGGTGGATGTGGAGCGGGATTTGGTGACGACGGGGTTTGATTTGTTGTATAATATTGTAGCTGGCGGAGATGAGGCGGGATTCTGGCTATTGCAACGTAGGAGGCGAGGTGAGGGTGAGGGTGAGGGTGAGGGTGAGGGTGAGGGTGATGGAGGAAGACGATCCATTTTGTGGTTTTCCGAAAGGGCATTGGCAGTATGTATATTTGTTTGACAGGACAGCATGGTATATGTTGAGGGCACGTTTAGTGGTATGGTATTCATGAGGTCAACTCTTGACTTAATTACACCCTTCAAAATGTTTCTATTACTATACTCATAAGCTCTTTGTGGTTTGTATCCTGTTTACTTAGTCGTTCTCTCTCTCTCTTTCTGCATATACATATACAACATATACATATATACATACCCTTGTGGAGAAGAGAGAGAGGGAAAGTGTTTTATTTTGTATACATCAATATGCTTCACTCCAAATGTCAAAAGTACAAAGAAGTTTCAAGTTCAAATACAAGAAGAAATAAAAATCCCCTTGAAGGTTCAAATGCAATAACTTCGGGCTATCTACAAAACAGGTTGTCGTCTTGAAATTGGTTCGCTCGCATAACGGATTGGATATTCAGGTTAATAAAAAAAATTGTGTATGATTTAAAATATGAATGTGAGCTAATCGTTTTTATTCCTTCATTTTGAATTTATGTTGGAATTGAATCAAACAGAAATAATATAACTGTCCGTAGGAGCCCAAACAGCCCAATATTACCCTCGATGGTAGCACTTTTTTCCCGCCAATATTTTCCCCAATCACACACACCACACATTTTACTCGGGACGGAGAAGAAGAAGAAGAAGGGAAGACCGATCATTGCTTCTTCTTCTTCATCGCCATTGAAACCCATCAACAAATACACATCACCCTATTGCTCCCTAGTTTACACTTTTCTACTTCTTCATAAAACCCTAAAAATGGCAGATGCTAGGGTTTTCAATGCACCAGACAGAGCTCTCCAAGCAGGCGTTATCACCAAAGTCCGATTAGAGAACTTCATGTGTCATAGTCATATGGAAATTGATTTGGGTGACCGTGTCAATTTCATCACTGGTCAAAACGGAAGTAAGTTGACCTATGTCTCTGCACATCTCCTATTTCTCTGCTTTCAAAAGTATGTAACGTTTAAAACAGGTTTTTCTTTTCTTTTTTAGGTGGAAAGAGTGCTATACTTACGGCTTTGTGTATTGCGTTTGGTTGTCGAGCCAAAAGTACGGACAGAGCAACCACATTGAAGGAGTTTATAAAGACTGGTTGCAGGTTTGTATTATCGCTGGTGTAGGAGCCCAACATTTGTTTTTTTACTTATATGTTTTAGGCTTCATTTGATATGAAACCAACTTCGAGATTATAGTTCCCTCAAGGTTGATTGTATGGAACCTGCTTCTATATGGTTATTCTTTTGGTTTTCTTCTGTTGTTTATATCGTGATTCGACTCTGATCCAGACCGTAAACACATGCTATTTTTTTTCTCCAGTCGATCTATGTTTTGACACCATATACTTGTTTACAGCTATGCTCTTGTTCATTTGGAAATTAAGAATCAGGGGGAGGATGCTTTTAAGCATGACGCATATGGAGATGTCATAATATTAGAGCGCAGGATCACTGAGTCAACCAGCACTAGCGTCCTTAAAGATCATCAAGGTTTTTGTTTTACTTTCTTATTTCTCTTATTGGATTTTAAATTTTATATATACTACTTGAGTTGCTGGTTACAAACTCTCTGTTCAATCTTTTTCCATGCAAACATATTAACTACATAAATAGGTGAGTTACTTTGCATATGCTTGTTTACTTTTACTCAATGTGAAACATGTAACAGGGAAAAAGGTCGCCACTAGAAGAGAGGAAATCCGTGAACTTGTGGAACATTTTAACGTGGGTATCTTCCTAAATCTTACATGTTACCTTTGTTATTATATACCACATATTTTAATATTATGTAGAACTTTCATAAGTTAATACACACCTCGTACATGTTCTGGATATTTGGCATTTCCATGTGCAGATCGATGTTGAGAATCCTTGCGTAGTAATGAGCCAGGACAAGAGCAGAGAGTTTTTGCATTCAGGGAATGATAAAGATAAATTCAAGGTCTCAAGTTAAACAGAGTATTAGCTTTCTATGTGTCACCTTTCTTTTCATCGATATGCATACTTTTGAATGTAAATTTATTTAGCCGAGATAATATAGGTTTTTTTTCTTTTCTGATATGATGTTGCTCAGTTCTTTTTCAAGGCTACACTTTTAAGTCAAGTGGACGATCTACTAAAAAGTGTCAAGGACAATCTTGATAAAGCAAACGGTGAGGTTCTAGAGCTTGAAAGGTCAATAGCACCTGTAGAGAAGGAATTGAATGAGTTGCAAGGGAAGATTAAAAGCATGGAACATATTGAAGAAATTTCTCAGCAGGTGCAATTGTTAACCAAAAAATGTGCATGGTCATTGGTATATGACATAGACAAGCAGATGCACGAAGAGACTGCGAGGATTAGAAAACTGGAAGAACGGATACCTCAGTGTCAAGCTCGAATTGATCAGAAAATCGTAAGAGAGTTCATTTGCTTTCTGTGGGATTTTTGGTTTATTGTTATTGGTTCTTAAATACTTAAGCCAATGTGCTTTAGAATTAAATATGTTATCAGAGTAGTTGATTTGACTGAAAACATATAAGTTTAATTGGTCTGGACACTTTCAGCTGTAATGATAATAGATTCTAAGCATAAGTTTTTGAACATCTTCTATTTAGCGTCAGTGTATAGAGAAATCTACTTTTGCAATGAAAGTGTGAGTAGAGCCTTTTTAACCTTTATAAAAAAAGGAAGTCTTGCGCTGGGGATGATCCCGGTGTCGGGCGGTGGTGTAGAGCTATAGCTATAAGGAGCAAAGCTCACACACCCCGGCTTTCCATTGGTCAACAACCAACCATATACACCGTCAAAGAAGTCTGGCGTAGAAACAACTAGAAAGTACTTACAATTATTGTTGTATAAAGAAGCTGTTTATAGTATAACATAGATAGTTTTGTTTGATGTATTCTTACTGAAGGGATTTATTATAATGCAAGTGAATGGACTATGATAGAAGGACAAAGGTTCAATATTAGTGTTTTTGAGGAGATCTATTTTGTAGCACTAAGCTTACTATTAAAGAGGAACAGGGTTTGAGTTTAGTGTAGAAAATCTCACCAGAAGCAAGACTGAAAGAATCATAATTTATAAAACAAGCTCCAGAAATTAGAACAAAAGGCAAACTGCAAATGCCCTGAAGGTTTTATGTCATGTATAACTTTGTGGAAACTTTTGTCTTTGAGGTTGCTTTGCTTCCTATTTTTTTCTTCCAATTCTTTTACAAACTTCATGAAGCACTCAGTTCTTATTAAAATCTTTTCGCGAACACTTCTCCACCAAGACAGGGGTCTTCTCGGAAAAGCCGCTCTGCACTTTAGGGTAGAGGACAAATCTGCATACATCTCACCACCGCGACCCTATCTTCGAGTGGACATGCTGGGTGTTTTTGGTTTGGTTTAGCATATTTTACTCGCCACTTTCACTACCTAACATGTTTATGGCTTCTATGATATGGAGTTTTGCCTTTATTTCGACTCATCATATTGATCAAGGAAAACTTATTTTTGTGTGAAAAACGGTCTGAGAATTGCTCACAGATCTTTTGTATCATTTACTCATATGCTGGTCTAGTAATGCTACATTTGAAATAGCTTTTCTGTTTCTGAGTGGAAATTGATTTATTTGACAGGCAAAAGTAGAAGAATTGCAGGATCGTTTGAACAAAAAGAAAGCTCAGAGTGCCATTATGATGGAAAACACTTCGAAAGCAAGGAAAAGAAAGAATGAATTGGAAGAGAAACTTTCTTTGGTATGTTTGTAGACTGAACATAGCTTTATAGCACTGTCTTTTTATGGATTAATTTGGTCGACAGACCAAACAAAAATGATTGCTGAAGTTTGATTCTTATGTACTTTGCTGTTACTTTTCAATCCATAATTTTGTTTGTTCACTTTTTTATCTAACGCCTCCGAATGCAAAATATATCATATATAGTATTTTGAGACGCAATGAGAAGGGTCTGTTAAACTTTTCCTGCTTCCTTGAAGCCTTTTGTTCTTCATACGTCTTTATGGCATCTTTTTCTACCCGAACATCTCCCTTCATCATGTGACTCCATCCATGTTGTAGACTAGTGCCAACACTTGGGGAACTTTTTTCTAAAAAAGACTTGGTCTCCTTCATGCAAAGGTCTTTCTTGCATCCAGAAATTAACTGATGCAAATGGCATAACTTGAGGCTTACAACCTTTAAATAGTGAACCGTTCTCTGAGATATTTGGTTCTCTCTTTACATCTTTATGCTTAGATTATGTGATGTTTTCATAATATTGAAGCACAACTTTGTGCTTTGTATTTCATATGTTCACTTGCTTTTATTACCTTCTCTAGGCATTGTTAACCCAAAGGTGTCAATTACTAATTTGTGTCACAACTATGAGCTGTTCTACTAATACAAATATTGATTTACAAGGCTACAAAGGAGAGGATTGAACTAGAGCAAGAATATGGCCGCAGAAGTGACAACATTGGTAAGATGGCTAAGCGAATCAAATTACTTGAGCAGCAAATCAGCGATGTCAATGAGCAACATATGAAGGACACACAGGTTGTATGTCTTTGTCATCCTTGCTATGATTGGCTACTTGTTCTCTGTTCATATATGAAGCCATAGTTCCCAAAGTTATTTACTCTAATTGGTTTGTCCTTTTGAGCATGGCATTATTCTCACCTATATGTGCTACCATAGTTATTGCTATCAGAACCAAAACCACTGGCCTGCAAGTCTTCGCACAGCGAATGAGAACTTGATGCTCCACTCATTCAGTTTCAGTCTCTCTCTCTCTCTCTTGGTCATTGGCTTCAGCCAACTCATATTATTGGGACTTCCATAGTAGTCATGATGTCCTATAGAGTCATCGGCAGTAAAGAGTGTAAATTGCATTTCTGCACCGGAAGATGTGGTTGCATGGTTGACGGGTCAATTCGGGAGATTTTCACCTGCCTCGTTTAATAGGCATAATTGTTTTGATCTTGGAATAACAAAATTTGTATATTTCCAATTCTTGTCTTTTTCATGTTTTTAGTCTGCAAAAGGGTAAGCCTAATGGAACTTGCACCTTACAACTTCTAGGCTTGCACCTTGTGCAAGACCATGCTTGTTTTTATGTAGTATTGTGATTAAATTGTGACCCTTCACTTAGACTCTGCTTTGAAGCTTGGCTTTGTTGGACATTGTCCTTTAAGATTACTTTAATAAGTTGTTCCTATATTTTTCCAATACTGAAAAATGTACACATGATATTTAGCAATGTGAGCCTAGAAATGTACAGATGATATTTAGCAATTCTCTTTAAGGTGTTTCCTGATATTTCCTTGTGAAGTGCATTCTTTTTGCTAACATGGGTTGCAGTTAACATATCCAATGCTAAAACAGCTACTCAATGTGGCCTGTATCAAGTTGGTTCATTTTCAAATATGGGGTTCCTATCCTCAAGCTCTACTCATATAGTGCACCTACAACTTCTATGAAGATGGCCCATTGTTATCCGCATCCGTCCCTGTCACTATGGATTTTGCATTCTGTATATGTGGTAGTTTAGCTCTCTGATTGAAAATGGTTTTTGCATCGTTGTAGTAATTACTAACCAGTAACTGCATTAACTAGCAAATCATTCAGCATATTAAAATGAACATGAACATATAATTCATATTGGCATTCTGTAGGCTGAAGAATTTGAGATGGAGAAAAAACTGAAAGAGTTTCAAGATGAGATCAATGTTGCTGACTTAGAGTTTCAAAGGTGTCTTGTTTTTCACAAGTCATTTGACATGACAGTAACTCGATATAACAATGTATGCTTGTGTTAACCATAAAGGCCTTTTCTCTAGCTTTATTAATTGTCAATCTTCAGATTGAAGAAAATTGAGGATGATTTGTCAGAAAGTTTAGGGATTGCAAGGGATGAACTTAGAATGATCACTTCTGAGGTATGCGATTGCTTTCTTAGTTTACCAAAACTGTGGAGTCATATGTTTTACTACATTATTTTATTTGGATTTTTACTTCATATTGCCTGTATCCTATCAATATCTTATCCTGCTCCGAACTAGGTAAGACTACGTATAAGAAAATACGCATACTTATATGAAAATGTACTATTTGATCTAAATTTGAATCTTGTTGAAATAGATGCGTTGCCAGCTACATCTAGTTTGGGAACAAGGCTTCTTCGTCTTGTTGAAATAATTAATGTCAATAACTAATTGGAGGTTATGCATGCTATATGCTGAGTTCTAGGACTGTAAACGATGATCAGAGTATAGCAGATTTGAGCTTGGCTTGTTCAAAGAATATTGGATTTAAACTGTTTAGATGAATCTGCAATTTTACTCCTGACTGATCTCAAACTGTTGTTGGCACATTGAATACTTTGGAATCAATTTGTTCAAGAGTTGAGTTGAAGCTAGTCCTGCTCATCATGTGGCTCATGAGTAAAGACCTGCTTGAGTTTGTTTCATAAATGTTGTTGCTTTTTTGTCCCAAACCATTATTAAGAGAGAATACATTAATCCGAATAAGATCTACGTATTTGGTTCTAATAGTAATTACTTTCTAGTGTATATATATTATAACGAAGATAAACGTACGAAATAATTGAATAAGTTTGCTAATCATACCGCCATCAAATTACAATCCAATCCGAAATGGAATAGGTAATTTTGACTCCGGAAAACGTGTTATTATAATCAGTTTTGCATTAACTTGTCACTTGTTGCTATCGTTAATTAGAAGTTCATTTTTGTATGAATACATTCTCATCAATGAGATGGACATCATGTCTCTTAATGCTAGCATAGAAAATTATAAGGCTGATATGCATGTCACAGTTTCCTGATGATACATATAGGCTCTGCGGCTGACCCAGCCTCAGTTGACATAAATTGTTGTCAATTTCTTCGAATTCACTTCTTGGATGTTTTGAGAATAGGAGACTTGTGCTTTATGCCTGTATTGTTCAGACTTTTGGGTTTCTGTTGGCCACCTTTTAACAAGGTTTCCCAAGATTTTAACAAGCTCTTTGTCAAGAGCAAAAGAAACAGAAAAGGAAGAAGAGGCATATGCTTCAAAAGTTTTCTTGTTAGGTCTTAATAATCACTTTTGTCAATGAACATTTATTTTTATCATTCTATTTTGATTTCCAAATGTTACTCTATAATATATTTTCTTTTTAGTGTGTGATCTTTCAGATGCTAACTAAAATGTGTATTATACCCATTAATTTGGCTAATTGTAAGAAAAACTATTACAACGCCAAGTATACTTGAGTAGAGCTGTTAGAAATCTGTGCAATAGCATAGATAATGCACAACTTTTTAATTGCAACTGGTGTATGTTGATTCAAGTTTGTATATGTTATTTTGTATAGGCCACTTACGTGGTATAAATTGGCTTGTTATCCATTTTTGCACCAAAATTTTTCAGGAATCCTTAACTAGGTGCTTCATAAATCTTTTGCCATCTGTTGTTTTGATATATTTTGGTATCTAAATTTTTGTAGTTCTGGTTTTGATTTATTGTAATCTTTTATATGTCTAGCACTGCATTTTTCTGCCAGTTTAGTTGTAAATGCATCTTCATTTTTTTCTGTACCAAACTAGTTCTTTCTTTTTTCTTTTCCAGCTTGATGATTATGCAAAGAAGATCAGTGATAGTCAGCGTCGCATTCGCGAACTGCGATTGAATCAGACAAACAAGGTCTGGTAATTTCTTAATTATGTGCAAACGATGTTCACCTATGTTCATGTTTATCACACATATGTACTGTATGTCAAAAGGAGCGAAAGGCATCAAAGCTCTATGTCTATGTGTAGGCACAAAGGAACTTTGTAAGGAATTTGCTGTTTGAGTGAAAAATTGCGATATTTTTGCATCTACCATGCTTATGGTCATACCTTTTTTTAAATAAAATTGTAGCTTTTGGTCTATTTCTTTTTCCACAGGTCACAGCATTTGGAGGATATAAAGTTTCCAATCTTCTACAGGCTATCGAGAGGAACCACCACAGATTCAAAAAGCCCCCCATTGGTCCTATAGGAGCGCATGTGGTCAGTAATTAATAATTATCATACGCCTATTCACATATGCATTAATGAGTTCAGGTGAACTTGCTTAAATTGCTGGTGTGCACTTTGAGGACTTGTATTTAAACTGAAGGGTGCAAATAGAGTTCTTGTGTAGAGAGTGGTCAATGAAGGTGTTAGTTTCAGATTGGTAATGGGACATGTTACCTTGTTATGTTCACAGCATAATCTTACTTCATCTGGGATTTATATGCTGTCTGCACTTGATTTCATAGACAACAGATGAAGCTTATTATCTATTTGTGTATGGCTACACTTGTTAGATGGTCTTTGTACATGAACTTTCATGTAGAACAAAATGAATTGCAAAGTAACTGTGAGTCTGTGAAGAAGTATAAGCCTCTGGTCTCTTTTTTATCTAGTTCCTTTTTTTGGGTTGGGGGGGGGGGGGGGTAAATCCGAGGAGTTAATCCAAGTGTAAGGATTATTTCTCCTGTCTATGAACATTTTTGATAATTTTGTGTTTTCTATGACATCTTTTTTTTTTACTTCTATATCTATTATTTCAGAACTACTGTGAGTTATATAATCACTGTAACAACCATACAATGCTTTCCATTGATTCTGGATCTGTTCTGGTTCTTATACCGGCATCCAAGGGATGAATTTTGCTGCCTGCTTGTCAATATGATTTTTGCTAGAAGATAACTAAGCCTCATTAGTAAACATGACAATCTTATTGGGATCATGTTGTGTTTGTGTTTAAATTTGATAAGTAGATGAGAGATAAGCTGAAGCAGACAAGCAGTTGTGCATGTAATAATAGATGCATGCATCACTGGTCATCTATAGGTCTTAGTTGATATCTATATGCCTCTTAATTGGATCTGTCAGTTCTAAAACACTTTAACTTGATTCTTATTTGTAATTTTACTGATTATGTTAAAGCTCATCTTTGCTTTATGCCAAGAACAAGTTTATGGCTGGTGTCTCAAGATGTTATCTGTTGTACTCGAGTGCTTAGATGCTAGAAATTTATCAAGGAGGCAATGAGTGTTCTTGCATAGAAACCTGTTCCCTGTTGCTCCTTCTCAAGGCCTTGGCACTGTTCTAGAAGATCACTCTTTTCAGAGTTTATTCATACTCTGCATATTACATAATACACCTGATATTTGGAGTATCTAACCACTTGTTCTATTCCCTCTATCCTTCCTGCTTAGCTACTCCTTTTGGTCAGGATAAATACGAAAATCTAATATTTTTGATACATCATAGATGTGCCTAAGTGCTTCTTCGAATTTCTTTGAGAACTGTGTTGCCCTTGTTAAGTAATCATGAGTTTCCTCTACTCTTTAATTGGATAAGGCTGAGGACAAAATGTGTAATAATCTAGTTGAGGGGGTCAAGACATACATGAGTTAGGGAATACTAGTCATAAAATTGTGTTTGTATTTTGAGTGTTACGATATGATATGATATGTCATAAAATAACTATCTAGAATTTTTTATGCATCAAGCTATCTATCATTATTTCTGGCGTTCTAATTACAGGCGTTAATTCATGGCGACAAATGGGCTGTTGCTGTCGAAAATGCCATTGGCAAGTTGCTTAATGCTTTCATAGTGACAAATCATAAAGATTCACTTTTATTGAGATCATGTGCTAGAGAAGCAAACTACCACCACCTTCAGATCATCATATATGATTTTTCTATACCAAGGTATGGTGTATGTATATTCATATCATAATTGATTAAGAGTTCTTAATATCTGACAGTTAAAATTTTAATGTAGGTTGCAAATTCCAAATCACATGCTTCCCCAGACAAATCACCCTACTACGATTTCAGTAATACAATCTGACACTCCAACAGTTGTAAATGTATTGGTTGATATGGTAAAGATACTTTTTTAACTTAAAGTTTCGGTTTTTTTCCAGCATCATGAATATTATTGCCAGTCTAGTTTTTTTGTGTGCAAGTTTTGTTGTGTTGTTTCTAGATGTACACCTACAGTGCCTTCGATCATAATAAGAACATCATGCTTCACCCTACTCCTGATGTTCGTCATTGCTTTGATCTCCCTGTACATTTTATCTTCTTCCTTGCCTGCTTGAAGTGCACCTTGCTTGCATCCCCCACATCTGTTTCTTATAGCCTTTAATGTTTCTTAGTTCCCATGAAAGGACAATCAGACCGATAGCTCGAATTCATTGAGTTTAAGGTTTCAATATATCACTGTTACTACCACCTGGCATATGCCATTTCTCAATGACCAAAGGTTCTTCATTGACAAAGTATCTATTTTCAGATCTAATTTCTTCTCCCCATGTCTATTATAGAAATAACGGCAAAAACTATATGCCATTCCTTTCTCTGACTTTAACAATGCAATCGAACCCTTTGAAGAACGATTATGATCCCTGATGGTGACTCTTTTTCAATCTTGAAGTATAGTTTGCTTCTTAACACAAAACAGTAGGCCAGATCATGGCTGAATTTCGGTGGCTTGCACAATATGCCCACTGAGCGTTGCTAACTTATATAATAAAATTCTTCTTTGAGCGGCTAAGGTCTCCAACCCACTTCCTTATACTATTTATCGGATAAGGATTGACAAAACCTTACTTTGTACTCACATGAAAGTTATCTTCTATCCTATTCTGCTGAGTACTCCTCACCTCTCTTATCACATCCCATGCCTTCTTAAATGATCTCCTGAAAACCCTAGAAGTTTATCTAGGAAGTTGCAGACCCTTTTGATGCCTTCTGTCTCAACTATCTCTCAGACATGTCCTTTGCCATCTTCATGATTCAAAAGCACGTGACATTTCTTGACCAACTCCGGAATTTCAAATGCTATGCTCTGCCTCGACATAGACCTTTCTAGCATGATGATACAGGCTCCTTTACAAATGAGTTTGGATCTTATTAGGTATCATCATATGTGGCAAATGTATAAACAGCTAACATATTGATGACTGGTAACAATTAACTGCTTGGATTTTAATAAGTATGATGCACAAATTTCACATGGTAGAGAATTCGGTCACCTGTTATTGGGTGGGAGTGCAGTGTTCTCTATGTATTAATCATGGCAATTTCTCAGAGTCAGGGAAAAAGTTGCGTAAGTTATCTTACATCTCATGATTTCTTTCTTTATTGCTCCATACTCCACCCCACCCTCACATTGACACACACATGGAGAAAGGGGAAGGCAAAAAGAACGCAAGTGGGAAATTGAGTGTATCTAAATGCTTGCCTGGCATTTAATACTATTTCATGTCTTCCTGAATGTTCCAATAAAATTGCAGTCATCCTTGGATGTAATGATGATCCTTGGCTTAGCATCAAGGTTGCTTCTTGTTTATTTGTGCATGATTGATTGAAAACTATTGCAAACCACACATATATTGAGTAAGCCATATTTATACTAGTCCTTCAAATGCTGCATTGGTCAGAGTCTCATGAACAAGGCTGTTTTTTTTATCATGTTGCTCTTTCATTTTGCTTTTCTATTAATGACTATGCATGTGCTTTCATCAACTGATTAGTTATTGTGTAAACTCTGGTGTTTTTTTTAGGGTGGGGCTGAGAGACAAGTGCTTGTAAGAGACTATGAAATGGGAACTACCGTTGCTTTTGACCAAAGGATTTCAAATCTGAAGGAGGTTTACACAACAGAGGGTCATAGAATGTAAGATTGGGAGAACTTGTTTTCGTTTCCATTCCATCATTACCTTGTGATTTTGTTGCTTTATTTATCGATCAACAGATGGAGTTTGTTTCAATGGAACTATCACTAGCTTATTTTTTTTTAAATTTATAATATATATATATATATATATATATATATATATATACAAATCTCAAGTCAACAACAAATTGAAAAATAATTTGTTAGTACATAAACCTAGACATATATATCAGTGTGCAAATGGCTTGCTTTGTTTCTCCTTTGAATCGTATGCGTAACTGTAAAGCATCTATATTGGTGTCTAACCAGTAAGCCTTAATGGAAAAAACTTAATCATGAAACTTCTTTAGAAATGTTGACTGGTCAACAGAAGCAAGAAAACTTATTCAAGACATTTAACATTTTAGTTGCAAGATATTTCATTTTGTTGTTCATGTTGCAGGGTGAGTTTGTGACAATTTTCTGAAAGATCTTGTCATATGAATAAGAAAAGATAGTTACTGTTATGGCGGTATGTACAGAGTATGTTGATTTTATTGAAAATAAGATGTGCAATTACATATGGAGTCAGGACCAGATCAAACCCTCGTCTATTTTTTCTAACTTGTGAATGAACTGACAATTACATACAGGTTGAGGTTCTTTGGTGTATGCTATTTTCTATTAGGTGGCATCTGCTGATATGTCCGGGTTATTAGTGAAGGCTCATCTAGCCTTGGAGAACCACCATAGAATTTAAGAGCTTTAAAAATTAGATATGGACACAGCATGCAGGGTACATCTTTAGCAATGGAAGCAAGCGGATTAGTAACATGGAAGTATATTATGATTAGAGGTGCCTAGGTCATATTATTTTGATGCTAGGACCCAGGATCATTGGAAAATAAGATTGATAAGGATGTTAGTCTTAATGTAAAAGCATGATAAGTGTTCTTGTGACCGTAGTCATAGACAATAGTAGTGAGATGTTCTATCTTATAACACAGAGATGAGCTGTTCACAGACATTATGTGTTAGGTCACATGGAGCAACATATTTGTAAGATCAGTATTAGCAGAAATATGGACGGCAAATTGGATTTTCTGCCATATACGATTAAAATATATTAAAAACAAAATCCTGGAGGTCAAGGTGGCACTGATTGAGGACAGCTTAAGGGAACACCACTTGAGATGGTTTTAGGCCATTGGACAATTGGTATTTATGTAAGGGTGACTTGTACCAATGTTATAGTGTAAGCGTCAAGGCCTGGATTGACCTTGGTTGAAGTTGTAAAACAGACTGGATTGGTTTATTATAAACCAAGGACTTGGCTTAGGCAGGAGAGTGGAGGAAAATAGTTTGGGTTTGGGAGCTTGTCTAGTTTATATCTTCTCCCTCTACAAAAGATTAATATATGAGTGTACAAGAAATAATACTTAGCTAAGTAACATTTAGTATTTGCTCTTCCCCTTGATAATATAAACTAATGGCCAGAAGGGTGAAATTTTCTGTTGTTAGTGTAACTGTTGACAGTTACTATTAGGGATGACTTGTAGTCTGATAGTATAAGAGTAAACGAAGCAACTTAATGATTGTCTTGTATGGTATGTGCAAAAACATGCAACTCCTGAGTTTTGTGTTTGATTACTCATCTATGTGATTTTTTTTTTCACACAATTTAATATTTTAAGGGCAATCCTTTGAGCACTGGTAACGTTGGTCCTCTATCACGGGAAGATAAAGGGTTTTGAGTCTCAGAAGCAGCCTCCTTGCAAATGCAATGCGAAGCTTGCATACAAATATGTTTGCCCCAACCTTCACAAGGCCAAGAGCCGCATTGAGTCACCCTTTTTGCACAATTAACACATTAATTAAATTAATGCAATATTGGTCCCTTTCTAGGTTTTCTCGTGGTTCAGCACAAACCATTCTACCTCCTGGGAAGAATGCAAGGACTGGGCGTCTCTGTAGTTCATATGATGATCAAATTAAAAGTTTTGAAAGAGAGGCAATACACATGCAAGAACTAGCTCAACAAGCTCAGGGAAAGAAAAGGAGTTTCAATGAACGGCTTCAGAATCTTCAGGATGAACTACAAATTGCGAAGGTAAGATGCCTATATTGTAGATTATGATTTATGTTAATGGGTTGCTTGGTTGGGGTAACAGGGGGTGGGGAATGTAAATGAAAATCATTAATGGTGTCTGGTTTGATGCACCAGAAACCGGGTAATGAAGCATTAGTCAACAAATTGGGTGAAATGCAACCAATTTCATTTTCTTCGTTTTTTGGGGTTAAGGGGACAGAACCCTATGGAAATTTTATCGAACTCATTTTCATTTTCCATTCCCCAGCATTTTCATTCCTATTTCCATTTTCCTGAAATGAACCAAGCCCCTCTAAGATTGATTCCCCTCTGAGTTGGATATCTAGAAAGAGAGAGGAATCATCTTTGATGGGGGGGAGAAAGCTTTACTGCAAGTTTATGTACTAAAAAGATATAATAGCATCATGTGCTACTGGATAATGTGTGTGTGTGACATTGAATTTGTGAACATGAAGACTGATTGGAGCCTAATATTATTTTAGTCACACGTTCCAAGTAATAATATATATATATATATATATATAATGTATGTGTCATTGGATTACTGCAATTGAAGATTGATTGGAGCCTCATATTATTTGTCACAAATCCCAATTGATATAATATCAAAAGCCATCAGAAATAAAAGGCAAATACTGTATATAATTCTTTGATGCTCTTACATATGGATTTGCAGCAGACATGATGTAAGAGCAAACTTAGAGCCATGATATAGCTTTTGCTTTTAAAGGACCAAGAGTGTATATGCATCAAGCATTATTCTCTAAAGGAGCGATCTTTTTATCATCTTGAAGGGACAATACTGAAAATATAGCAGAAATAGTTTTTCTTCATTGTTACCAAAAATAGTCAGAGTTCTGTATAAGGTTACCTTGACCCTTTTTTTTTCTTTTTTCTTTTTTCTGTTGGGGTGGGGATATCTTTCCAGTGTGGCACACTTATATGTGGGTTCCATGTGTTGGGCAGCAATACAGAGTTACTAACACTATATTAGGGACAAACAACAAAACAAAGAGCAACATGGCACAGTTAGATATACTCAAAAATGGCACAGTTAGATATACTCAAAATGAGACAACTTTAGGACATTAAGTTGAAAAATCTTCAAAAGAGCTGCAGAGGGTTCAAGTTTTATAACTGATTAACTGTAACTACTAAGGCAAATCAAATCAAAAGAAGACGACAACTGAAACATCCATATACAGAATTGTCTGATGGATTGTGCCACTGGAGAAATATGATGTGATAAATATAAGTACCGCTTAAGAACAAATTTTAAACTGGTTAAGCACTTATCTACAGAGGTGTTAGCATAATCCAAATGATACCGAAACATAAAGTTGCATCGAGGTAGTATTGCAAAAGAGGTGGACTTAACACCCAGCAAAAATGTGGACTGTCCATGGTTGAGCGTTAGAATATCAATAATGCTTTTACATTCTTGATACCTCTGGTGATCGCTGTAAAGCATCTCCGGTGTTCAGTTTAGTATATTCCTCTAATATATTTATCTTAGTGATTTTGTTTTTCAAGATCCACTTTTTTTCTTTCTTTAGAGACGTCGTGTGGGTGCAGAGAAACATTTAATGTCAAAGAATCTTGGGCTAGAGGATTTGAAGAATTCATATGCTGCAGAAGCGATAACTTCCTCCGTGTCTAGTGTTGATGAGCTCCAGCATGAAGTTTCGGTTTGTATTCTATACCACACTAAAGTTTTCTTCTCTTGATGTCTCTCTCTCTCTCTCTCTTCGACTTTGCCTCTTTGAACAGTCATCTTATGTGTGCCCTTGAACTGAACCAATTTGTACAATATCCAGAAAGTACAACATGATAAAACCGAAGGTGAGATTTTGCTTGAGAAGATTCAGGAGAGATTGAAGGAAGCCGAAGCTAAAGCAAATGAACTTAAAGTTTCATTTGAAGAGCTACGTGGTATGCTATATTTTCTAATTATATATTCTCTTGTACTTTTACAGACTTAAATTCATTATCGTCTTTCTCATCTTCTCTTTCTACCCTTTCCCATACAGAATCAGCAAAAGCAGACATCAACGCTCTAGAAGAAGCAACCCGCCAGCTGACTCAGATTGAAGAGGATCTGCGTTCTGCAGAAGCGGTAATTATTCTCTTCTTTTCTGGTTAGCTCATATCAGTCTGTGATCTTTTCTCTAATGCATCATCATTTGGTGTTTGTAAGTTGTAACCAGTAAATTAACAAACCTACTTCCTATATAGGAAAAACGTCATTATGAAGGACTTATGGTGCAGAAAGTCCATCAGAGGATTGAGGATGCTAAACAACAATTTCAGGATTTGGAAAATGAGCGAAAGGTGTGTACCTGAACTGTTGAATATCAGTACTTACTCTTATAAATGTGCAAAGAAACATGGAGTTGACAGTATAAAACTCAAGACCTCAACCACATCGCACAAACTTACCAATCAAGTAGTGTTGTTCTTGTTTTCTAATTGTCCCAATCTTACTTGTATTCCTTTTTTTCCTGAATCTTTCTTCCTTCCAATTAGGCATTAATCTTAAAGTTGTTTTTTGTTTCGTTTTAATGCCAGCACATGTTATCTGCAATAAATTGAAAAAGAAATAAAATTAATCAAATGTAACGATTAATACTTTGTATGGGTTCCATTCTAAAAGAAGCTTGATAATATTTCTCTGTATATGATGTAGGTAGTTGGTAAAATTATATTTTGTAGTTGCATTTGCTGCCCATTACGGAATCAACCAAAAAAAGTCCCCCGTGACGGCGGTGGAATTCGGCTAAAATCAAGAGTCATGTGATGTTCTTAATTTTGGAAATGCAGGTAAGTTATGAAAAGGCCTCTATCATATGTCCTGAGAGTGAGATTGAAGGCTTGGGAGGATGTGGTGAAACAAGCTCGGAGCAGTTCCAAGCCCACCTTAAAAGGCTAAAACTGCGACTTGAGCAAGAAAGCCAGAGGTAAGTAATGTGGTGGGTGGTAACTTTGTGAGAAGATGTCTTTTTTCAGTTTTCATGTATAGGGTGGTTGCTATGCAGGCATCAGGAATCTATTGATGAACTTCGGATGTTGTATGATGAGAAAGAGCGTAAGATTAAGAAACAACGGCAAACTTACAAAGCTTTTAGAGAGAAACTTTGTGTAAGTTAGTATTGTTTTCTTGATATAGGGTCATGGTTTTCTGTTATGGTCTGTTATTTTGTTGGTACCGATTTCAGACAATTCATGTGGCTCTTGACAAACGATGGAGCAAGTTTCAGAGAAATGCAACTCTTTTAAAGAGACAGCTGACGTGGCAGTATGAGCCTCCCACCTATTTTATTTGGCAAGTTCTTTTATTTGGAAAGCTACTGACATATATAATAATATTTGTGGTAGGTTTAATGGTCATCTCCGGAAAAAGGGGATTAGTGGACACATTAAAGTTAGTTATGAGGAGCAGAAGCTTTCGATCGAGGCAAATAACTAGAATTCTTTTAAAAAAATGGTTTAGTAAATATAGGGTGGTGGTTTTACCTTTTTTTTTTTTTTGTGGTGATTGTTCAGGTAAAGATGCCCCAAGATTCATCGACAAGCAATGTACGAGATACAAGAGGGCTATCGGGTATGTTTTGATTTATTGATATATTTGTTTGTTTGTTTGTTGGATGAATAATATAGAAAAGAGAGAGAGTGTGTGTGTGTGTTATGAAGGAGGAGAGCGGTCGTTTTCAACGCTATGCTTTGCACTAGCTCTTCATGAGATGACAGAAGCTCCATTTCGAGCTATGGATGAGTTTGATGTTTTTATGGTAAATCACTAAATCTAATTCTAATGTTGTTGGGTTTTTCTTTTATAAATGATTAATTAATAATTTAACTGGTATTTATAATAATAATAAAAAAAATAGGATGCTGTGAGTCGGAAAATCAGCTTGGACACAATACTGGAATTTGCTCTGGCACAAGGTTCACAGTGGATATTTATTACACCTCATGACATAAGGTGAGGTGATTAATGAATTATTTAAAATGATTTAATGAGGTGATTAATTAAAAAAGTGTGAACTTGGTGCAGCATGGTAAAACACGACGACAGGATCAAAAAGCAACAAATGGCGGCTCCTAGGTCTTGAAGCACCTATATTGTTATGAAAACTTGTTTTATGATATGGTTTCAACATTCATGTAATGGTATTTGTATTAGTCAAAAATCAAAATGTATCCTGGATTTAAAAAAACAAACAGATGGTGAAACTTTCTACCTACTTTAAACATCAATATCTGCAATTTACTTCACAAAATAATATTATTAAGTATAACTTTAGCATTTGGATATTTATGATACCATAGAAACTCAAATTATACTTGTATTTTTTATTTTCAAAATTTTATATTGTGGGGTGGGGTGGGGTGGGGTGGGGTGGGGTCCACATAAAAATGCCGTTGCTGCAAACTCGATTCAAAAACCCACAAATCCATCGGTTAAACAACACAGATTCAAGGACGACGAATTGATTAAAGGAATCAACAGACCTTCAATCAGAAACAGATTTTCAATGTCGTCCTGTTCGGTTGAGAATCAAAACCCTAACCATTCTTCACCGCTAAATTGGTTGAAGAACAAGAAAGCTGCTCTTGATCATGTGGTTTTTTCAACCATCCGCCGCCGTTCCTTGTATAGAAAACCCCCCTCCACTCCTAAATCACCACGACTGCCAGCAGATCACCTCACTGGGCTTGTTTCTCCCACCTACCAACAAACCCACCACAATGAACCCCTTCTTTCTGATTCCCCCCAAATACTTACGTCTCATGATTTTATTTCACTCCTTTCCGATGAGACGCTCCTCCAGATCCTCTCCAGACTCCCACAGGAATCGACTTCTCTGGTCTCCAAATCATGGTTGAATCTCCAAGGCCGTTTGGTAAGGTCACTTAGGGTTTTCGATTGGAGTTTTCTTACATCTGGTCGTATGTTTCTAAGATTCCCTAACCTTATAGATGTTGATTTACTCCATGCAAGTCTGGTCTCTAGCAGTCGTACAAAAATCTGGGGTCTTTCTTTCCCCCATCTGTTTGGACCCTTTTCTGTTGATTCTGATATCTTTTTATCAGAAAACCACACTTTACTACCTGTTGATCAAGTAGATTTTGGGTTGAAAGCTTTGGCTAGTGTCTACCCAAATCTGCAAAGACTCGTGGTCGTAAATTGTAGTGAAATTGGGCTATTGGATGTTGCCGAGGGCTGTCAAACACTGCAGGAATTGGTTTTGCATCGTTGCCATGATCAGGTTTTGCGCGGGATTGCAGCCTTTAGAAATCTGCAGATACTCAAGTTGATTGGGAGTGTTGATGGCTTCTATTGCTCTTTGGTTTCAGACATAGGGTTAACCATCTTGGCTCAAGGGTGTAAGAGGTTGGTGAAACTTGAGCTCAGAGGATGTGAGGGAAGTTATGATGGCATCCAAGCAATCGGGCAGTGTTGCCATATGCTTGAGGAACTGACCTTCTGTGATCATAGGATGGATGATGGGTGGTTGTCGGCTCTTTCGTACTGCAAGAATTTGAAGATTTTAAGGTTGGTTTCGTGTAAAAGAATTGATCAAAGTCCTGGACTTGATGAGCACTTGGGTTGTTGCAGAATGTTGGAAATATTACATTTGGAGAGGTGCCAGTTGAAAGAGAAGCAAAGTCTGAGGGCGTTGTTTCTTGTATCTCAATCTGTGAGAGAATTGGTTGTAAAAAATTGTTGGGGACTGAAAGATGGCATGTTTCTGAATGCCAATCTGTGCAGGTATTTTTTATTTGATTTTCTTGATTTCACTAGTTCATTCTCAGATCTCACTGACTTATAATGACATGTAACTTGGTTTGTTGTATTGTGGGTGACAGGAGGCTAAAAATGGTGTCACTAGAAGGATGCTTAAGGTTAACAACAGAAGGTCTAGAATCTGTACTTGTTTCTTTAAAGGAGTTGGAAAGCCTGAGGGTGATATCTTGTAATAACATTAAGGAAGATGAAGTGAGTCCTGCGCTCTCGACCTTATTTTCTGGTCTTAAAAACTTAAAATGGACGCCTGATAACACATCTCTTCTGTCAACGAACCTCTCGGGATCTGGAATGGGGAAACGAGGGGGTAAGTTCTTCAAGAAGTTGCAAATCTTGAACACTTGAAGAGCTCGAGACTTGTTTCTAAACTTATGTTGTAGTATCAAACAATTGTATTTGCGACTTAGTAAGAACATCAATGTGCCATTCTTTTGGTTTCTATTCAAGACCAAGTACGTTGGTTGTGATGTGTGGTTGGCTTTTTTTTTTTTAGATGGCGAAAACAACCCAAGAACCACTCGAGATGGTCTGCCACTCGACTGGCCCAGCAAATAGTCTAGTATTAATTTTTGTCTACAAGGCTTGTTTAAAAGTAAATATAATAATCCTCCATTCTACTTGATAAACCAGATTTAATTTGTAGCGTGACATTTTCCATGTAATTAAGAATAGGAACAGGGTTTTGTTGTTAAGGGTTGTTTGACAGTTGCTGAATGGTTTGGTGTATAATGCTTAAGAGGTTCTTATGATGTAATGCAAAATGAAATATAATTGTTTACAATGGAATTAGGGTGCTGAATAGTTACGAGAGACTCAAGATACAAAATTATTCGGAGGGTTTTAAAACCATTAAGGCATATTTTTTTTACCAAATAAGATTCACTTCTTAATTATTCAGAGACTACCTCTTAATGAAATTATTAAGAGGTAAACAAACAGCCTCAATACAAGATTAATCAAATGAAAATTCATACATACGGGGGTTAATTAATTATTTGCACTTTTTTACTTTGAGGGACCACTTTTGAAGTTGTTTACAAACCACAGGGACCAAAATGGAGTTTACATCTGTTTGGCAGAAGAAATAGTCGTTGTGATTGTGAAGAAGAATCATCGAATTGAACGGAGAGATTTGCCATTCGTGCAAATCATATTGCTTTTCTTCATCCTCTTCTCCATCAACCTTAAAGAGATATATGAAATTCATGCTCCTCCGATCGCTGGTTTTTTTTTTTTTTTTGATTCTCTGCAGCTGCACAGAGTCACACGGAAGATGAAGGACAAATCAGTTGTAACAGAAAGTCCTAGCGGAAGTGGTGTATCAAAATCATCTTTTTCGAGCACATTATTTGTACGAGAAGAAGAAGAATCAGACAGAAAGAAAACCACTAACGACTTACCCTTGCGAATCGTCACTCATAGTGGTTCCTCCAGATACGATTTTGTTAAGGTCTGATTCATTCACATTGATCCATTTTCTTCGTTCCCGATTATGGCTACAGACATTGTACTTTCCAATGAAAATCTGTACGAATGTTCTAACAAAATTTGAAGCGAAACTATTCTGTTCTGGCACTTGTTATAAATTTAAGGTGTTTCCTACTCCATTGGTTAATCTTTCGATGAGAGAACAAAAACATGGTGAGTACGGTCCAAAACTGGAAATTATTGCTGTTTGGATGGGGAAGAGGACGTGTATCAACGTGAAAATGGAAGAGTAATATGTTTCAAATTTTGCTAGGAGTAACATGCGCTTTTGGGAATGGAAAAGTGCTATATTAACATTCTCTCTATATCTGCACAAGGATTTTATTGTTTTTTTTTTCAAGTGTTATATTAACAATGATTTTATTATTTATGGGTTCTATTTCTTAAACTTCAGGTGAAAGTATGGTTGGGTGATGATGCTGATCACTACTATGTCCTCTCTAGATTTTTGCTTAGCAGAATGTTGACTGTTACTAAGGTCCTGCCTTCAACCCATGGTTTCTTACAAGATACAATTTATTTGTGGTGGACTGTAGACTCTAGTTTTTGACATCTGTTATATTTTTAGTTTGGAAGTATTTTTACGTCAAGAAACCTTTCATTTGCGTGTCTAGTGAGAAGCCTGACTGTGACTTCAATTTGAGTGTTCATAATGAAGAATGATCCTCTGGTACATGTGTAGAAGCTACAGTAAACTTGCACTGTCCTAGAATAGAAAATAGAACAAATCTGTGGATGGAAGAAAGCATACACTTACCACCAGCATTTGTACTTGTGTTGTATCTAAACCATGATTCTCCTTCACATGCTTACAAATGAAAAAGAAGGCATGTACACTTGAATTTGTGTGTGAACTTGTCAGAAATTTATAACTTGAGAGGAGGTTGGAAACATTTTTCACTTGTTTCAAAAGGCGGTTAGTTGATTTCTTTAAGGGATGTGTTTTATAATTCCTTTTGGTTTCGCATTTTGTGGACCCCAATTTGTTTAGGATGGAAGACTTGTAGAAAAATTGAGCTTTTATAGCTGCTTTATCTGCCTGAAGTCGTGTAAACCAGAAAAGAATTTAGAAAGAGGAATTGACCTCGAAACTATATGGCAGAAGGAGCATGTTCAACTTACCCCGGCGGTCTACCTTTCTTAAGGCCCTCAAACTACTTTATAAAGAGCAAGGAGGTGGCTTTTGCCTATAAGGACAGTTGGAGCCACCTGCTGCCATGCCATTCCTTGAAGAACCATCTGTGTTCAACTTCAAAATACCAATAGGGCAATTGAAGAATTTTCATATAAATGGAGGGAGTGCAATTTAGTTGCTATTTTCAGTATTGATACTTCTAATGGTCCAAAAGCAGGAGGTACTAACATCTATACATATACACTCCCTCCATCCTAAAATAAGTTTCCACATTTTATTTAATTTTGTCCCAAAATAAGTGAATTTTTTCAAAAGGAAGGGATCTACTTTCTCATTCCATTCTTAACTATGAGATGGAGAAATTTCTCCCTATTATTAAGAATAAAATTGTCATTTAATTAACTAAAAGTGTAATAATTGCACATTCCTAAAACTGTGTTTTTTTTATAATTATGGTCATTTATTTTGGGATGGAGGGAGTAATTGTTAGAGTGACGAGCGTATCTTGCATATATCTTTCCCTCTACATGCTGTCCAGATCCTCAAGGTGTTGGATTCTGTCATTACTTTAGGATCCTTTTCACATATTGTCAGCCTGTATTTTCATACATTTATACTTTTCATTGCATCTACTTGCTTTCAACTTTCTTTTTGGTTTTCGTATTACGATGACCTTAAAGTTAAGATCATCATGCTTTATTTTCAGATTCCTAATCATGTGGCTCTAAAAATTGCACTTGAACTCAAGAAGTTACTGGTAGATAATAGCCTTCTGGACGTGTACGTCATCATACTCCATCTTCTAGCTATCCATTTTGGTTACTTCCGTTTTGTTTCTTCAAAGATCTCATTTATGTAGTTATTGTGCAGCTCTCAGTCTGATCTGGAAACTAATTTGTTTAAGGTATATATCTGTTAGGTCCATCTTTCCATTATATACCCTTCTCTTGTTACTGTATCTCCTTAATATGCTTTAGTTATACTTGCAGGTGTAGGTTGTCCTGCATTAGGTTTATTGAGGTCTGTCTTACCTACTTTGGTTATGCAAGTGTGCATTATGATTGATTGATTGTTTTCGGATCTCGCTAAAACCATTTTCCGTCTCTAACAACCAGAACAAAAACATGAACTGAGATTCGTTACCGAGGATTAGACAGAAAGAAGTTCAAGAAAGGCTGATAAACTTCTATTTGCTGTTCGAAGCTTATGGGATTGTACACCCATATTTGGATCTCTATCTTAAACGACATGTTCAACAGATTTGGTTAAATTTTACATTTATGAGCGAAGAATCTGGTTGTTCTGTACTAAATTTATCTTCAAATGTTTGAGCTTAAGTGCAATTATCAAGGAGGAATGCACCCCCAAAGCGTTATCGTATCGTAGGAGGTTAGGATTGCTAAAGAGGTGGAAATTTTGATTGGTATTTGTGTTTGATAGTGTTAGCTATAGTTCATTTGGATTCTCTAAGGGATAGACGGCATACTTTCTGTATCTCAAATACTGTGGACTTCAGTTTCTGCTTACCTCTAATAGTTTGGGTAAAGTGGTTTGGTCGAGTCAAGTTTACATCATAAATTGTCCATGTCACAATCTGAATTTTGTAGTTGATTTGTCCACCGATGCAATAACTAAGTTTTGATTGTCCTAAAACCTCCTCTTGAAATTTTATTGCTGGTCTCTGTTTCCAGCTCATGAAATGGCGGGGATATGGGCAAGAGTATATAAATCGTTACAAGATGATGACAAGGTATGTCCCAACTCCCAGCCTTGATTAAAGTCGAGTACACAGTACATGAATATCGTCGGTTAGAATAAATTATTCAGATTCACTTTCCTAAGCAAAGCTAGTGTCAAATAAATAGAGTTGGCCATGCCAATCCATAGGACTCAATGATCCTTGATAACTATATATGAGGAACCAAATTAACAATGGTCTATGTAAGGCGGATGCATCGTTTTAAGATATAACTTCAGATATATTGGAGAAGTGATAGTGGCAGGTTCATCTCCTTAAGGAAGAAAATTGACAGATGTTTATAATTGCTTGTTTTTATTCTAACATTTCTTTGTTAATTTACCTCCATAGATTTCACCATCGAAGAGTACCATTGGTCATTCTTGTATGTGGCACGGCATGCGTTGGAAAGTCTACAATTGCTACGCAACTTGCACAAAGGTTAAACTTGCCAAACGTCTTGCAGGTGAACCTTTTTACATGTTCCTGTAAGGACGTCATTTTTTCTCGGGCAAACTTGCATCCATTTATATGTGCATTAAAACCCGAACTCTATTTGGCTTGACATGGACTCCCTTGACATTCATTCTTCTTGATATTACAGACTGATATGGTCTATGAATTGCTAAGGACGTCGACAGAGTACGTGAAGTATCCATACTTATTTTTTTTTTACTATAATCCGGGTGATACAAATTGTGGATTTATGGTGCACAACTTTTACTTCTTTTGTGAGGCCTTAATTATGAGGAAGGACATCATCAATCATCTACAACGCATGCAAAGTATCCTAGTTCTTAGTGTAATTCTGAACATCAGATTTACTTGAGAGATAAAGAGGAGGGGGTGGGGGAGGGATAGGCTTGAGCCAAAATATATGAACCTATCAGCTTTTGAATACGATCACACATATGCATTCCATATGCTACTTTGCTATTTGGTATCCGCATTTTGGATGATTGAATCTTTCAAAGTGATAACCACTATTTAATTGCATGCTGTTATTAGTTCACGTATTTCAGTATATTTTCAGATATTATCTACCATCAAGCATAATCAAATTACTACTGATAATTTCCCTCATTATATTGTGAAAGCTTAGAAACTAACAAATTGACTAAATGAGCTGCAGTGAAATCTAATATATTTTAGTGGGTATTACTACAAGGCTTATCCTTTTTTTTTTTACTTTACCGCAGTGCACCTTTGGCATCTACACCTTTTTTGGCACGTGACTTTAGCTCCTCTGAGGAGCTAATAACTGAATTTTGCAGAGAATGCAGAATAGTTCGGAAAGGTACTGTATAGATGCAAATAATGGCTGGTTGTAGCGAGAAGGGAGAATATTGAGAAATTCTATATGGTCGTTGTCGTATAGGTTTGGCTGGTGATTTGAAGAAAGCAATGAAAGATGGAAAACCAATCATTATTGAGGTACTAAACACCACATATTAGATCTGTTTTTTTCCTATTGTTTGCTAAAGCATCAATTTCAGTCATGTTTAATTAATTGAGATTTGCACTACAGCTTCTTTCCACAGAGCTGAGCTTGAGCTTCCCCACAAAGAAAGATTCACTAATTTTCTCACATGCAATGGCCAATATTAGAAACATATATCAAATAAGAAAAGAAAGAAGTACTGACCACTGTGACTATTTACGTTAATTCTGGTACTTTAGGCTTTAACACAGGACTTCGGGGAAAAATGAATATATCAGATGCTCAGATACCAAGAGCAAGTAAGTGCTAAATTTGAGAAATCCAAGTGCTGCTAACAAGCCATTGATTACAACATTATCATCACATATTAATAATGAAATTTTGACAACTGATTATGTATTTTTGCTAAATCCATTATATTTATCAAATGCTGCTTGATTACATGTTTCTTCTTGGTTTATATGTTATTACAGACACGGTCATGCTTATTGGTTTCAACGTTTCCTTTCAAAAGTGATGTCTGATGAGCATGACGTTCTTTCATATGCACTTGCAGGGAATGCATGTGGATCCAGGCATATACCTAATTGACGAGGAGAGAAAGTTACCAAATAATTTGCCAGTGAAAGCAGAAGAGGCAAAGTCTACAGAAGCAATTGGGAATGATGTAACATGGGTGGAAAATGATGCGTCTGCTTCTAGCATTCATGATGAAAATAGCCACAAGAATCCTGAGAATTTGAAGGCAGAGAAAGCAACATCTGCAGGAGCTATGAATAATGATCCCGATGGCCTTAAATCTGTACCTGCTGTTGGAACTGTTCCTGAGAATATAAGTTAGCTCTTAATTTGACTTCTGCTTTATTTTTTAGTTTTCTAATAGGCTCTGGCTTCTGTTGATGCTGAATGTTCTTGGTCAAGGTTGATATTAACTATTACAATGTACAACATGGTGGAAGTTACTACTGCTCTGATTGTTTCTTTGGCTATTCAGCTAACAATATGAAAGATCAAGTGGCTGAAAGAAAACCTATTCATAGAAGAGAAAACTCAGGGGCCCCGGAACCAATAATAATTCCTATTGTCCTAAAGATGGCTGAGTTTGATCATAAGGTGAAATGACAAGCTTTTTGATGCCTATTATTTTTGTCTGGTAATATTTTGATTTTGCTCTGTTTATTTTGCCTGCTTTCCTACTCTGAAGTTCTTGATTTTATTTTAGTTTTTCCTCGAGGTTTGTCATCAAATTATGGTTCCTCTCATCTGCAGGCATTACTAGAAGAGTGGATATCTACTCGTAAATTCAGCAACAATTATCCGATCAAGGTATCTGTGGCATCTCTTCGAAGACTAGTTGTCCCTGTATTGACAAAAATACTTGGAACAAAAGTTTGTCACACTATTTGAACTCAATACAGAGAAACCATTAACTTGATCTTTAACATTAATTAGGCATCAGTTTGTTAAATGCATCAAATACATGAAGTCGGCCTATGCGTCTTGTAGGTAATTCTATACTATATCATCAATACAATTGCTACCAAACCTCATGTTTTTCGTCTGCAATTCCAAATTTCTGAATTCTTTATTGGGGCATGGCCACTCTATTGGCTAACGTTTCTTTTCCTAAACTTACTTACTGTTGACTTTTTCAGGATAAAGACAAATTGATTAGCAACCTAAAAACCATTCAAGACTATCTGTGCTCTTTCCAGTCACAGGTACACTCGTATCACTTTATTTTTCTCTGAACCAACGACATGGGAGTCCTTTGTGACATATATTTTGCTCGAGTCCTGTCATTATATTTTTATTCATGTTAATGAGCATAAAGTCAGTTCTCTCTCTATCTCTCTCTCCCACCCTCCCTCCTGTTAAACAGGGTTTAACAGTCACCAACATATCTGCGACAACATTCCCACAAACGCTTGATTGGTTGCACAATCATCTTCTTCAGGTAAATCAATATTTCAGTCTGACTTAAGCAACTGTTTCTTTCTCTCCAAGTTTTAGTTTTTTATTATACGCTTCCAACTCCAACTGGTTTACGATACATGCATTGATGGGCGATCCATTTCTCCCCTCCCCCTCCTCGAAAAAAAAGCCTCAAGCAGTGAAGCAACTGAACCCCATATAGTCCCTAATCTCTGAATCTATTTAAAACCAAGTTGATGGTTTCTCCGTATTGGCTAACCTTGCCACCTTCATTATCCTATATGCATGATGTGTTTGGGTGGAAAGGTCATTGGGCCGGTCGACTCCACATATTCTCCTTTTACCAAGCAAAGAAAGTCTACCTTGCAAATTGAAGACAAACTATATTAGTCTTCAAAACTAGTTATCCTTTTCTTTTCAGCAAAAGGGACTTACTGTGGTATCAAGTACAGTGAACATTTATAGTCTTCTTTTTCACGTCTTGTGTTCTCTCTGACTTTGTGGTGTTTGTACAGCGTATTGAGCAAGGTATATCGTCTGCCTCTAAAGGAAGTAATGGTCAAGCCAATGAAAGTTAGACTCGATTTTACAGGTATGAATCATAGAACTCATAGATCTGGATTTTACATCTCTAAAACCTTCATCTTCACTTCCAGAAGCATCTAAAGTTAAAGCTCAAGTCAATCCAATCCATATATATAATTGGCAAGATGTTTATGTTTGAGAAACTTGGATTATCCCAATGGCAGAGTATGGAGCGCACGTGCCAAGACGATGGCTTTCAAGGGATTACAGGACCATTTACCACATGATGTCTGCCAGATTTGTTGGCAAAGCCTTGAGGTTACATTTGTTGTTTTTATATTCTCAAGATGCATATTTCTGTTAGAGGTCTACAAAATAAATGCAACGGATTACTTTTTACTTTTTAGGGTAGGTTTCGGGGATCCTACTGAGCTTGTCTGGTTTTGTTATATAAACGCAACAACACATGTTTCCAGGGTTGAATTGGACAAAGTTATTGTTTTCTTAGCCTATGATTCGGTACATTCCATTTAGAAGTGAAGTGAAGTGAAGTGAAGTACCAGTTGGGTGTGGTTTCTTCTGTCAAATCTCGATACTGAGACCATTCTCCTCCACACCACCGGACATTATAAATAAGTTGTCCCACCTGGACATTATACATAAGAAACATCAAGACCTGTTTTCATCAAGGTGGCGGAAACACAAAAGTATGCCACATAATGATGTTATTGGGCTACACCTCATATTCATGGTTTTAATGCACACCCACGCATAGCTTCTGAATAGGGCTGGGACCCCAATCGCCATCCTTGTCCCTGATCTCCAATCTTCATCTCCATCCCCGTCCCATTCACCGTCCGGGAATATGATCACATCCCCATCCCCGTCTCCAACGGGGAACGGGGAAAGGGGATCCCCAACCGGGAATTGGGGATGTTTTTCTCCGTTTATGTGAGACATTTTAAATCAAATGTGTTAAATATTACACCCGATCCATAATGATTCGTGTGTAGAGCTCATATTTCCAAAATTTTGCTTATATGGAGTATCAAATATTCATATGTTAACAAAATCACAACATCATACGAAATTGTTTCATCAAATGTTTTCGACTCTACATGTTCTTTATCTAAAAATTGTAAAATAGTTTAGAAATGATGTATGCAAGAAGAAATATCTTTCTACATTTAAAAGATAATAAATCTAACTATTTATAAATAATTAGATTTAATAATAAATATATGATATATATTTAGTAATTAACATATAATATATGGGGACGCAACGTGGGTTGGGGATCAGTTAACCGGTCCTGTCCCCATGTTAACCGGATTGCCATGAAAATTTATATGGTCCATCTACGATGTTAATGAGATATTTTCACCTGAAAGAACTTGAAAAACCGTTCTCGTACTGGAAATTGTTGGAGCCACACATTGGCCAAATTGAACGAAGGCGGGTTGCATAGTTCATCGAAACCCACTCAAATCATGCTTACTGCAAAACTTACTATGCATGGCGTGTTACTCGTCCAAGCATCGATTTGACTAGTTATGGGCCTCAAACAGAGTACCGTAGCAGCAAAAGTTATGCATGTCTAAGCGTTAACACTTAATTTTTCCCGATATACAGGGGGTACCTTTGGGTTTTTGTCGTTGAGACCAATTATGTCGTATTGCCATGAAAATTTCCATGGTCCATTTACAATGTAAATTATATGTTTTCCACCGGAAAGACCTTGAAAGAAAAACCGTTCTCATGCTAGAAATTGTCGGAGCCATGCATTGGCCAAATTGAACGAACATGCACCATGTATTTCGTCGAAACCCACTCAAATCATGTTGTATTACCACAAAACTTCCTGCCCATGGTGTGTTGCTTGTTCCAAACTTCAATTTGACTGGTCATGAGCCTAAAACGGAGTCCCGTAGAAAATGCTCGTTTATGCGTTAACACCTATTTTTGCCTGATATACCAAGGAGGTACCCTTGAGTGTTTCTCGTCCGGGTCGACTGTGCCTAGCCATTAAAATTTTTGTGGTCCATCTACAATGTTAATTACATTTTTTCCACCAGAAAGAACTTGAAAAAAAAATTGTTCACATGCTGGAAAAATTCAAGAGCACTGTAGAGTGCTAAACTTCCTTTTGAGAAGTGTTTAGATTGCATGAGAGCGTCTTTTTTACTTAAGTAGCGGTCTAGGAAGGCTAAGAAGGCAATTATGGAGTCATGCATTGGCCAAATCGAACTAACGCACGTCATGCAATTCGTCGAAACCTACTCAAATCATGTTGTATTACCACAAAACTTCTTGCCCATGGCGTGCCGCTCGTTCCAAAATTCTATTTGACTGGTCATGGGACTAAAACGGAGTCCAGTAGCAAAGGTTATACACGTTTAAGCGTTAACACCCATTTTTGCCTGATACACCAAGGGGGTACCCTTGGATTTTTCTCGTGCAGACCGACCATACCGAATTTTCATGAAAATTTGTATGGTCCATCTATAATGTTATGATATGTTATCCACCAGAAAGAAATTGTAAAAAATCGTTCTCATGTTCGAGCCATATGTTGGCCAAATCGAATGAACACTCATCGTGCAGTTCGTAGAAACTCATTCAAATCATGTTGTATTACCACAAAAATTTCTACCCATGGAGTGTTACTCGTTTCAAGATTCGGTTTAATTGGTCATGGGCCTAAAAAAGAAGTTTCATAGCAAAAGTTATACATGTTTAAGCGTTAACCCATTTTTGTCTAATACACGAGGTACCCTTGGATTTTTCTCGTGCGGACTGGCCGTTCCGGATTTCCATGAAAATTCCTCTGGTCCATCTACAATGTAAATGATATGTTTTCCACCAAAAAGAAACTGAAAAAAATCGCCCTCATGCCGGAAATTTTCGAAGCCATGCGTTGGCCAAATCGAACGAACGCGCAATGTAGTTTGTCGAAACCACTCAAATCATGTTTTGTTACCACAAAAATTCCTTCCCATGGAGTGATGCTCGTCCCATAGTTCGATTTGACTTGTCATGAGCTTTAAACAAAGTTCCATAGCAAAGGTTATGCACGTTTAAGCGTTAACACCCGTTTTTGCTCGATACACCAAGGGGGTACCCTTGGGTTTTTCTCGTGTGGATTGACCGTGTCAGATTGTAATGAAATTTCAGTGGTCCATCTACAAATTTTTCACCAGAAAGAAACTGAAAAAAACGTTCTCGTGCCGAAAATTGTCGGAGCCTCACGTTGGCCAAATTAAAAGAACGCACGTCATGTAATTCGTCGAAACCCACTCAAATCATGTTGAATTACCACAAAACTTTTTACCCATGGCGTGATGCTCGTTCCAATATTTGATTTGACCCGTCATGGGCCTAATATGGAGTTTTGTATCAAAAATTATGTATGTTTAAGCATTAACACCAATTTTTGCTTGATACACCAAGCGGGTATCCTTGGGTTTTTCCATCCGGACCGACCGTGCCGGATTGCCATAAAAATTTCCGTTGTCCATCTACAAAGTAAATAATATGTTTTCCACCAGATAAAACTTGAAAAAAAATCTTGTTCTCGTACCGGAAATTACCAGTGCCTTGCATTGTCCAAATCCAACAAACGCGCATCGTGCAGTTCATTGAAACCCACTCAATTTATGTTGTATTACCATAAAACTTCCTACCCATGGTGTGTTGTCCATTTCTAGTTCGATTTGACTGGTCATGGGACTAAATGGAGTCTCATAGCAAAAGTTATGTACGTTTAAGTGTTAATACCCATTTTTGGTCGATACACCAAGAGGTACCCTTCGCTTTTTCTCGTCGGTACCGACCATGCCGGATAACCATGAATATTTTCATGGTTCATCTAGAATATAAATGATATTTTTTCACCAGAAAAAACTTGAAAGAAAACCATTCTCGTCCTGGAAATTTTCGAAACCATACATTGGCCAAATCGAACGAATGCCCATTGTGCAGTTTGTTTAAACCCACTCAATCATGTTGTGTTTCCACAAAATTCCCTGCAACGATGTTGTCCTTGTTCCAAGCATAGATTCTAACTGGTCGTGGACCTAAAACGGAGTCCCATAGCAAAAGTTATGCACGTTTAATTGTTAGCACCCATTTTTGGTCGATACCCCAAGAGGTACCTTTGGGTTTTTCTCATTCGGACCAACCGTTCTGGATTGCCATAAAATATCTATGGGCCATGTGTAATGTGAATCATAAGTTTTTCACTCAAAAGAATTTGAAAAAAACTGCTCTCGTGCCAGAAATTGCCTGAACCATGCATTGGCCAAATCAAATGAATGTGTGTCGTGTAGTTCGTCGAAATCCTCTCAAATCATGTATTACCACGAAAATTCCTAACCATGGCATGCTCCTCGTTCCAAGATTCGATTTGACTGCTCATGGTCCTAAAACAAAGTCCAATAGCAAAAGTTATACACGTTTAAGTACGACACCCATTTTTGGCCGATACACCAAGGGTATACCCTTGGGTTTTTCTCATCCGGACCGACCGTGTTAGAATGCCATGAAAATTTCTGTGGGCCAGAAAAGTTAATGAGAAGTTTTGCACCAGAAAGAACTTGAAAAAGAAACCGTTCTTGTCCCGGAAATTGCCGGAGCCACGCATTGGCCAACATGAACGAACATGCGTCATGCAGTTCGTCGAAACTTACTTAAATCATGTTGTATTACTAAAAAAACTTCATACGCATGGTGTGCTCTCGTTCCAAGCATCTATTTCACGGGTCATGGGTCTAAAACGAAATCCCGTAGCAAAAGTTGTGTATGTTTAAGCGCAACACTCATTTTTGCCCGATACACCATGGGTATACCCTTCGGTTTTTCTTGTCCGGTTCGACCATGTAGGAGTGACATGAAAATTCGATTGGCTATCTGCGATGTAAATTAGAAGTTTTACACTAGAAAGAACTTCAAAAAAAAAAACCATTCTCGTGTCAGAATTTGTCGAAGCCACGCATTGGCCAAATTAAACGAACGTGCGTCGTACGTTTTAACAAAACCCACTTAATTCATTTTTTATTACCACAAAAAATCCTACCCATGGCGTGATCCTCATTCCAAGCATCCATTTGACTAGTTGTGAGCCTAAGACGGAGTCTCGTAGCAAAAGTTATGTACGTTTAAGCATGACACCCATTTTTGGCTGATACAACTAGATTTTTCTCGTCCGGACCGACCGTGCAGGATTTCCATGAAAATTTTCATGGGCCATCTACAATGTTAAAGAAAAGTCCTACAGCAGAAAGAACTTGAAAAAAAAACGTTCTTTGTGCCGGATATTACTGGAACCACGCATTGGCCAAATCGAACGAAGGCACGTATCGGTCGGATTGGAAGAGAAATTTTCAAGGGTATCCCCTTGACATATCGACCGAACTGGTGCCCCGGGAAAGATCAACCCAGAAACTCGTCTTCTTTATCAGATTGGCTTTTGTTTGTGTTAGAAAGAGCTTGTATGAAGTTTTGTGGCAATCCGACTTGATTTGAGTAAGTTTTGACTTTTGACAACCCGCACGAGGCGCGTTCGATTTGTTGGGCCGATGTGTAGCCCCGACAATTCTCGGCATGGGAACAGTTTTTTCCGAGATCTTTCTAGTGCAAAACTTCTCATTAACATTGCAGATGGCCCATGAAAACTTTCATGACAATCTGGTACAAAACTTCTCATTAACATTGCATATGTCTCATTGAACGGGATTAATTTTACTATAGCCTTTGTGTTTGGCCAAACAGACCTCTTGGAAAACACGGGACCAAATGCGAGATTTATTTATTCGAATCACTTTTGTTGCTGTTAGAAACGGGTTTGTGGCAACCCGACATGAAATGAGCAGGTTTCGATGACCAACACGCCGTGCGTTCGCCGAGCTAGGCCTTAATAAAATTAGGTATGGAAACGAGTTGTTTTCAAGTTTTTCTGATGCAAAGACTTTTTGATTAAAGTTGATATATGAACTAAACTACAATCTCATGTCATTTTTTGATTAAAGTTGATATATTGACTACTTTTAACAAATAGTTTTGTACCATAAAAAAACGTTTTCATGCTTGAATCGTTCTGGGGATAGCTTGGGCCGTTCCGAACGAACTCGCGTCATGCTGGTCGTCGAAACCCGCTCAAATCATGATGGGTTGCCACAAAACTTTAACGACTTGTTTCTAACATCAACAAAAGCAATTCCAATAAAACCCGTGTTTGGGCCAATATTTTGTTAGGGCGTTTGTTTGGCGAGGTGCCAAGACTATAATTAAAGAATCCTCTGAAATTTTCTCCGCCAGACCAACCACGAATATTTGCATTACCTCTCACAATATTAACAAATAATCTTACGCCCATTTTTCGTGCCCAAAATTTTCAGGGCTTAGCTTTAGCCGATGAAACTCGCTATATCATTTCAGGTTTCCATGCGTCACTTCTAACACAAACAAAAGTATTTTCCAAAAAGGTAGCAAGTTTTCGGACCAACGTTTAATAGGGCAACTATTCGGCCAATACGCCGAGGCTCTATAGGTGGTGATGGTGGGTGATTATGAGAGAATCCAAGCATCTACAATGGTAAAGCTTTAAACAGAAGCAAAAAATATGAAATTTGTTTTAACAATACGATATGGCCAATAAGCTCTTCCCAAAAAGCTCCATCTGTGGATGCTCTCATTTCGCAACCCATAAAACACAGATTTACCCATGGCCTCGATCAATATGATTCATCCCAAGGCTATGAAGCAGAAATGGTTCCATTAACTCTTCTAGTGACAATCATTAACCAAAAGTTGAAGATGCTGCTGCTAAGACGGCAAATGAAGTTTAAGTTCCCTCCTATCAAACAACAATCATAAGAACATAAACAACCAATCCAATTATGTCATGTGTGTAGAAGCAACTTGATATTAATGTAGGTTGAATGGTGGTATCATAGGGCTTGCATCTCTAAGTTGGTATGATGGTCATGGCCATTCGCAGAGGATGATGATGTTGCAGCAGCAGCAGCAGCAGCAGATGTTGAATCTTGGTCAGAGTTCATCTGTTGAACAGGTGGGGCGTTCACAAGGGTCATTGGCATCACAAAGTTATCAGATAGTCGTCCCTTCATCTCCCTGTGTTCTTGGCATAAAGCACACCAATGCATGCAGCAGTGCACCAAACATGGGTCACAAGGTGAGTTCTGCACAAATATTACACCGTCATGATTCTTAAAAATAAATAAATACCAAATCAACTACCCCCCCCCCCCATCTTTATAGCATCCAAATTCACCTTTTTGCCGATCAGTAACAGTTACAAGATATTGATGCTAGTAACTTTGTTCAACGAGATTCGCCTAATTTAATAAAAAGTTGGTTACAGTCTACTGGTAGTGTCATTGTGAACCTTTTGCTTTTCTTTTAATTTTTACTTCAAAAAGATTCACCTGTTTTGACATTATTGATATTTTTTAAATATTTGACCTATAACAACTCTTGCACCAGACTCCAGTAAAACATTAATTTATTTTGGTAGCAAAGACTTTGGGGAGACTATGTACTCCATCTTGGTTCTGAGAGCAAGTACTGTAAAGGTGGAAGATGATCAAGGAATAATAATTGTCTTTGCATTCTATAAAATGAAAATTTATTTCGGACGGAGATAAAAATATATAAATCGATTAATAGATTTAGGAGGCAATTAGATTCCATCATGGTTTTGAGAACAATTATTTAAAGGCAGGAGATGATTAATCAAGAATTATCTTTGCATTTACAGAATGGAAAATGTAAGCTCCTGAAGGAAAAAAAAGGGGAGGGGGGTTAAATAGCAATCACCTTTTCAGAGTAAATATAATAGCCACAGAGAAGTTGCAGTACCTTGAGATGGTATTTCTTCTGTAACATTTGTCGAACAATGCCGGTGTATATACCACACATCCACCAACTGAACAACAATCCCTCACAGATGAGGAATGATGTCCTCGGGTCAATAATCCCATGCAATGCTGCTGTTGTTGCAGCAACTGCGAGGCCACCCTCAATGAAGATTGCATGAAGAACACATGGAGTGGTTGCAGAAGCATAGTCATCTCTTAAGGTTTCATAATTGCGCCCAAACAGAACACATGGACAAAAAAGTCCTGTCCAGCCTGAAGATAACAGGGAGGGAAGAAGTAACATCTGTTCTATCACTTTTATCAACATTACCAAGCACGTTTTATTCATGAAAATATTGCAAAGCAGAGAAAAGAACACGAAATGAAGAAATGAATAGTGGAATACTTGATGGATGCACATGAATCCACCCAAGAGAGAAAATTAAAAACACAGTTCACCAAGACATCTACAATTTGCAGTACGTGATTCCCCAGTAATCCACCAAACAAAGGTGCTTTAATGTGTGTAATTTTTGGACACAATGCATGTACTTGGGTCATAAGATACGTACTAGGAGAAATCAGCTGAAATTATGTCATGTGTCAGTTAGATTATAACTGTAACATATTAGTTGTTACAGGTTACATGTTCAAAATATATTCACACCACCTCAGTCACATAATGCAAAAATTGTAGAACAAACTTGTATAGAAGGGCATTGTGATGCTAGTTGCATGGTAATTTTGTTCTATGACATTTGCATCTGAAAGTTGGAATGACCACCTAAAAAGATAAAACAAAGAACATCGCAACTCAATTATGTTGGATAGCTCAAATGCCAAGAGAAAAACTTACAGCTTTCTGTATCTTCAGCACAACCAAATATCCCAGTTGACCAAGGTTCAACAGCAGGAGGCTCAAAGCTCTCAGGTAAAGGCTGCCCACATTCATTGCACTTGCGAACATTTAACTGTAAATTAAGTAAAAAAGATGAAAAAACTTGGAACAAGAAACATGCAATATCTTAAACATGAGGGCTTACTAAACAAGGAACTCAATGCTTTTTGGAAGTTTGAACTCCAAAGAAAGAAATAAGTGAACAAGCAATAAATTGCATCAACAAAATTAGTGTCTGCCCAATTCGTATCTATGAAGGTTTGGTTCCTTTTATCTTATAGGTTTATAGTATCATTAGCATGGATATTATTATTAAGTGTCTAACTGTAATGATGTTCATGTTGATTATCCTATGAGAGCTTGGCATAGTTGGATTCCTCCTAAAGGTAAGTGGATGTTGAATGGAGATCTCGGTTATCCACTATACCAAGGGTGGATAATTAGAGATAGTAAGGTGTTATGATAGTTGTTTTTTCAGAATTTGTGGCCTGGGTAGTAATAAATTATAGGAAGCTAGATCTTTTAGAGGCTCGAGATAGACATGTTCAAGTTTGATCATTCAAGTAAGGGGTCAAAGGTGTTTGGTATATTCCTTAGATTATTCATGATGACACTAAAAAATAATTTTTTTGATCATAAATGATGCTAAGGTTAGGCATTGCTAAAGACAGGCAATGTCACTGATTTTCTCGGGAATGAAGCTCACCAACATAAACAAGTAAAGATATGAGGTCTTGCTCATTCTTGTCAATTGCTTGTTGCGGAAGGTACAAGAAAAAAGGGCATTCGTGTTCACCATGAAAAAATATTGTACAGGCTAAAGACTCTTGATAGAATTTTCTAGGAGTCATATTGGTGTACTAACCCTCGTTATTTGATTGTATTTTATCCTTATTGGATTATGTTGTGACATTTCATGCTTGAACACTAGTACTTGGATAGGCCTTTATGTAAATATTCTGATATGGTATTGGAATGTGATGCTGCTCAAAATAGCCACAAGGTTCAAGTCCCCTTTATAAATAAGACACCAGTTGCAACTAAGGGTATTAGTGGCTAGTGAGGCATACTAATACTTGGTAGTGTGTTCTATTGAAAGATAAATAAACAAAAGAGCTCCATCAAGTCCTTAGTGTGAATCCTCAAACTGAATCATTAATTCAGTACAAAGGAAAAGCACCCAAGCGAGAGGGAGGAACTTATGAGCTGTATTATGTAAAGCCTATGCCAGATACTAGAGCACAAGACGGGGCCAAGTAAATCCCAATGAAAAAAATGTGTCCTAAAGAAATCTATATAGCAAATCAATACATGTGCTGATGTGCCTAAGTCATAGAATTTCTATAAAGTTCCCTCAGTAATATTTAACCAATCTACGTAACTACATGTGCAAAGTAGAAAGGTCTAGCATTACTAATGTCAAGAATAACATTTAGAAAGAAAAAAAAGTGTGTGGAAAGACCCCCCCAGTTGATGTCTTCTAAGTTGTGTTTTCACTACTAATTATTCTTTTGTGTTTGTTTCTAGCCTACCCCGCAAGTTGCGATACGTATCGATATGCTTGGTGTTCTAGGAACATAGATCAAAATCACCCGGTCATCCATTTATGTGCAATTGTTGTCTGCAACAAACCAAAAAACATTCCATCACATGTCTCCTGTAAGGCCACTAGTAACAGAATTTAGAATGCCATAACCTAGGTGCATAAGAATCCCTTAGCCAGAGTATCTCACTTGGATCAGGGAAAATAAAAAACTTCTAGGAATAGTTACTTGATATGCATGCATCGAAACCAAAACAACATGGAACAGCAGATGCAATCTTTATTACTGAGCACAGACGAACATCATTTTGACAATAAAACCACCTAAAATTACCGTGCATGCTTGCATCCATGTTCCCCTAATAACTGTGCAAGAAGGGTGAAGGGAACACCTAGGGACTGCTATATAACGCCCAGATCTTGATAAAATACTACCTACATATAAAAGAACTACATAATTATCCTGACTTCATTTGCTACAAGATGATAAAATCTATACCACACCAGAAAGGCATAACTTGAATTCTGAAGTAGTATGTATGTGAAATTAGAAAGATTTCAATGCAATGTCCAGATCCCGAAACATACAACAATCTTTTTAGAAGTCCCGGAACTTATACAAGTGATTAAAAGCGGTTGATTAGATTTCCTCTAAACAAAGGGTTCTTTAGCCCACACGTGAGCATATTCGCATCAAGCAATGTCCATAGCTCCATACCACTTTAGGGATAAGTGATCAGAGTCGTCGTCCTTAAAATCCGACAAACCCTAATGTCAATTAATTAAAGAGAAAACAATTAAACAGATCCGTCAACTATAATACAATTCCCACAAAAAAGAAAACATACTGTGATCAAACCTGAGGAACTTCAATGGGCTGATTGAGCTCTCCCGGACTGATGTCAACAGGCGCTTGATCCTTGTTTAACTTTACATACCGCGATGGATTATCTCCATCTGCCATCTGATCTGAGACCACTAGTAATCAAATAATAGGAATTGTAAAATAATCAAATAAGGTTTAATATTAACACATCGACCGGAGCGCCGGCCAATTGTTCGTACCCTTGACTGAACTCAACAGCTGGTCAAAGCCACAATCTGTGTGAGAAACGCAGGTGATCTTCGAGGGAAGGTTTAACAAAGAACGTAACAGGTTTACAATTTCTACGGAAATCCAAGCTGAGTTGGAATCTGCTGCTTGTAGAACACCCTAAGTTTCAAGTAAATTACAAAGTTAGTCCCTGTACTAGTTATTTTTATTTGTTACACTTTTGGTCCAAAACTTTCAATTTTTTATATTTAAGTCCACTTGTTTTTTGTTACACTTGGGGACCAAAAACATTTTATTTAATACATTACTAATAAATATAGATATCACATCTATAACATTTATGAAGGAAAAAAGAGACATAGCATCTCACTCAAAGAAGGTTAAAGGAATAACTACGCTAATACAACTACAGTCAATCATATATTTTAGCTCATATATGATCTGATCAAAGGCTTTGTTAAGATGGAGCTTGCTTCAAGGTCATAAGGTTTTGACTGCCTTTCTCTAGATGTAAATTGTAATGACGATATCCAGTTTATGATATCATCCCATGAAAAAGAACGAAAACAGACTATTATCTAGAGATAATAATTTGATTACCCATGATTCAATATGGTTTGATAAACAAAATCAGATTGGCTAATTGACCAATTTGCACCAAGGAGGCAACCCCATGAATCAAGACAACAAGGCGGCTTGTTCATGTTGTCTTGATGAATGGCTCATCTAACAAGTTTCAGTACATGTGTCTTTAAATAATTAATTTTGAATTTCAATATTGGATGCATTCTCAAAATAAGTTCAATTATTGATTAGAATCCTAATTTCAAGATTGATAAGATGTTAGTAACAATAACTTTAGAAAATACAATTCGAATAGTTTTACGTAAGAGTTGAAATAGATGGAGTTTGTGGGATTAAATTGTACATTTTACGATGCGTAAGTTTTGATGATAACAGATGCAACCCCACCTTATTGTTTGACTAATATTTTCAATGAAATGTTCAAGAAAACGTTATTGTAGTTTAGTTCATATATCAAGCATATAATATAAAGAGACGAATCATAAAGTCACTATGAAGCATAGTTTATTGATGAATAGGAGAAAAAGTTTATGCATAACCAGGAATCCTTTATTGATTTTCTTCCATATTGCAATATATATTTATATATATACATACGTGAAGCATGCAACTCCAAAGTGACTCCCTAGTCACTTGACCATGCATGCATAAACCACCCAAATTATATATGTATGTACACACACATATATATATATATATATATATATATATGTGTGTGTGTGTGTGTGTGTTTATTAACCTGCTATGCGAGCCGACTAATCCCAGGACAACCACCTGCTTTGCAGATAGCCCGGAGTCACTGTATTTGAACCTCCGTGGCCACAAGTAGATTTTTATTCCTACTTAGATTTGAACCTGGGACCTCCTTGTACTTTTGACCTTTGGACCAAGCTCAAACCAATCAGACACCACCCTTGTGATTTATATATGTTTTTATTTGTGGTTTATATATATGTTTTTACTTGTGAGTACCCATGTAAATTACCCCACAAATGGTTTCATGAGTAGACCATTCCCAAGCATTCAACCTCGTGTTTCATGTGGTCGTTTTTGCTTTTGCTCAAGGCTACAACTACATTTCAGGTTATGTTCGAGCCACACATTGGTTCCCTTTTCAAGACCATAAACGTACATGGCCATTGGGCATTTGATCAGACCTGAACACGAGTGTTTCGACTGCTAACCACCCCACACAGTTGTGTTTCAGCATAGTACAACCCATTGTCCATGTTTTCGAATCAGCTAAATTCTGAATATTATCGTTTTTAACCATAACATATTTGAATCGAGAGGGTATCCATTATCAGACCAACTAATCGGCTCAATAAACAAGTATATAGATCACGAGGATAATATTGGCAACAGACGAGATGATAAATGGCGGCTGCCATCACCATTTCTTTACTTCGTCGATGCTCCCACCATGTATATATGTTGCCACCACAACACCCTAACTTGCGGTCGGCCTACTAAAATTCCATCGAAGCCCACGTTTTATAACATCTCCACCCCTCAATTTGTTTCTCCACTTTCATCATCTTTGACTAGTAAAGTTTTCTTCTTCTTTTTATTAGTGGATAGAATTACATAGAAATGAAACAAGAATCACCTTCTATATACAATTATCACCAAATTTACCTATTTTTCTTATTTATATCAGAGATATAAATTTGAAGAAATAAAACTCATTATTGAAATCATCTCAAATTTGGGGTGTTACAGTAATTAGAGTTGTTTTAACTAATTAGGGACTTGTTATTGAGCTTTTCATGATAATCTTATCGTAAAACAAAATGTACGATGCGTATCAGCACTTATGGCCAATATGGAATCGATCGAGCAAATTTACTTGGGGAGTCAATAAAACACAAGTCTACACTTTAATCGGATTATTACTCATTGCTAGAAGCTTTATTTTAATTATTTATCGTCTTCAATTATTTGTATGTTTAGTCTAGTATTTCAATCCAATCCCTCGCCCCAATTTTATATAAAGCGTAAAAGTCAATAATCTTTCACGATCAATGTATGTGGAATTGACCCTACTTACCACTGTTACAATTTAGGTTGTAGTTTGAGGTAATAAGAAATTATTATTTCCCGGGCTCGACACCTATCAAATTTTTATGATTTCAATTAAATTGATGTTGTGTGGCAATCAAGTATGGTCATTATTTTTTGGTGTGGCCTTCTGTGTATAAAAATATGTTGTCGTATTCTAATTGCATCCAAACTATGTATAATTGTGTCTAACTTCCGTTTGGTCGATTTATAGAGTGAAAAAGGTAATCAATGAACATTAGGTTAATTGTATCAAAATTTTGTTGTTTGATTGTTGCATTGTGCTAAATCAAGTTATTAAATTAATTTTTTTATTATTCAGGATTTGCCTTCATCATATATATCAAACAATTATTTTAATAGGTACTTAATATAGATTAGGTGTAAATTAGTTGTTTTTGTCATCCAAACTGTTTATTCAACACAACAAATAAACAACAATTTAGTTTAATCTACGCACACAATTTAATTCATAGTGGTAGTTTAATCCACACACGGTTTAATGAAAAAAACAACCAAACAATCCCTTAATCGTCGGTGCTAAAAAAAAACTTTAACATCTTCATCTTCATGAAGTCTTGGTTCATGGTCAGAAACCCCACCTTACATCTTTATCTTCATGAATTCACAAAAACCAATTTCTCAACCAAACACAAAGACAAAAACAAACCCAAACCATGTTTCTGAATCTACGTGTACAGTACTTGACTAATGATTTTCTTTATTTTGAATGAAACAAAAACCTAAGACAAAACCCAATTTTTCTCTCTCTCTCTCTCTCTAAAAACAAGAACAACGTTGTTCTTCTCGAATAACATTGAACATATGGTGTAGATTAAAAAAAGTACTTGTTTTTTGACGTCTCATCTCATAACATCAACACAACTAAAAACATAGCGAAATGAAGCATCCAAGCAAACATTAGTTGAACAAGGAAGCGGTCTTACTCATGTGATGTTGGTGACAAAAAGCCAAGAGCTTTTTTAATAGGGTTTTTCTTATTTAGACCACATAAGTAAAACATACATGTCGTCTTAAAAACACTACGTAAGCAAGACATCTGATGTAAAATGTAATATTATTCAATGCTATAATGGAGCTGTCACCACACACCACCAACACAACCGTTGCCACCATACATTGCTGACTTAGGGCCGCCCTTACAACCGTCAACACCAACGCCACTGCCACCATCACCATAATCGCCTCTCCACCACTACGACCATCATCTTCATCACTATCGCTACCACCACCGCCACCATCACCATCTTTTTACCATTATATAGCGTTTATAATTTAAACAAAAAAATATGGAAATGTGAAAAAGAGGTATTTATCATTATTTTATTACAATTTCAAAGTTACATTCGAGAAACCAAACAAACAGATTCAAAAAACCAAATGCTACCTTGATTTAATTTAATGCTTCGACCCCATCTATACTACATGTATAACCATTTAAGACAAAGTCTTAAATACAAGTTACTAAGCATAAGTTACAATGGTTTTATGCAATAAATTCAAAAAACTCTTAAAGACAAGTCATAAAGCATATGGTACAAGCTTTTTATGCATTGACCTTATCTCTCACAATTCAGACTTCTCTAACAATACCCTTTTGGTGATAGGTCAAACCTTACTTTCTTCTATAACAGACCCTTTTTCCAGCTCTCTTTGAAATTGGTAAGGTCAAATTTCTTCCCATCCTGCTACTTTCCACAATTCAGACTTCAAATTCGTGGCTCCAAGAGGACTGAGCATATAACAAGGGTTTTCCTCTTTGAAATTGGTAAGGTCAAAGCTTGCTTTCTTCCTGCTACTTTGCACAAATGGACGATTTCAGACTTCAAATTTGTGGCTCCCAAGACGACTGTGCATATAACTAGGGTTTTGGAGTATTGATTTTCAACAACGATTTCCCTGAGGTATTGATTTACATTTCATGGCTCCTTAGCGATTTCTCTGAGGTATTGTCCATTTCCATTTCAAAACCCTAGCGATTTACATTTTGTGTTGGTGTTTGTTGTAGCGAAACTTTCATATTAACTTCTTTTCATGTTAATACAGAGAGTTCCTCATTATAGGGTTCTTGATCAATGTAATCAGTAATGCTGTTTTTTTCCCGGTACTAATTTCCAAGAGCAAAAGGATATAAATTCCACCTGTTTGCGTACACCTCCCCCCCCCAAAAAATTTTGGTTTGATTTGGTTTAGAATGAAAAGAACAAAAGCTAAATACTTTTGAGTTTTTATACATGTTTTTGCTGTCTCAAAGTTATGTTCTCATTTGTTCCTCTCAGGTTACTTATGATACAATTGGGCAGGCCTCGATAGTGTTGTAAGTCAATTCTGCTGTGAATGTGAAATGTTGGTGGCTGCCGTTGCTGGACATTATATTGATGGTGTCTTTGAACACGGCGGGTCATCGGAGCATAAAAAAGGTGTGTTTTAGATGTTTCCTCTTTTGTATGGTCATGATTGCAATTTGAACTAATCTTCAATAAACCTTCTTGGTCATCTTGCATTTGTTAAATCATATATATGAGAAACTTATGATCTCTGTTAACATGAATGCATTTCTTTAGAATAAATGGTAAATAAGCTTGATATAGAGGAAAACAAAGTTCCAAAAATGTGAAAGAGGGCTAGATGAACAGCTGGGTTGGTAACTTAATATGAACACAGTCTCTATGAGCTTAAGCTCTTAGTTGGGTTGGTAACTTAATATGAACAGCTGCCATAAACATATGGCATACACAGATGTATTAGACAGGTTCACTATTTAATTTTCAAAAACTCATTTTCAAGTGGTCTTTATATGTTTACCTGCTGATTCTGTAAATAAGAAGAAAAAACAATTTAAGAGATCAATTAGGATACAAGTACACATTTTCTTTAAACACCAACTGCAAAAGAAACCCTGCTTGAGTCGAATGTATCAATTTTAAATCTTTGCTTTGAACTGCTAATCTTTTGTTAAGTGTGTATTTCTATCAGTTCCCCTTATGGTTTTATGTCAAAACTGCTTCAAAGAAATCCAGGATGATGCACTTCATGATCAACATCATCCCTCCAAATCCAGGAAGAGCATAAGTAGGTACAAATATTACTTATGTGTGATGGCAAAGCCTGAGCTAAAGTAATACTCTTATTCCTGCAAGAATCGTAGCTCCAAATAGCAAGGGTCCCTATACACATTAACTATGTTATCTTTCTCTGTTATTGTGTAAACATCTATCATTGACAAAGGCCATATGATAATTTGTTCTAGCAATGTTTTACTTCAATCTATATATGCTTCACTCTCCAGCATTTCTTTTTTAGGCTTCATCATTCCTGTTTACTTTCTACCTGAATGGCTTTCACTCTCCAAATGTAGTTAAACAACATGAATAACATTTCTCAGTTTTGGAGTAAAAAAACCGACTTATTTAACACTCTAAAAATTTAAAAATGGATTCTTTTTGGTTCTCGTACATATTGATTGTTATTTCTGCTCATTTATAAGTTCTTTTTGCAGCATGGGTTTGGACCCAACTCAAGGGCTCTTATCCCTATGGGGTTAGCAGAAGATTTTTCTTGTTGAAATGTTTTTAGATAGATTGGTGCTTGTGTATGATCATTTTTATAATCTCTCAGTTCCAAAGCATAGATCTGAGCCTATAATCTCCAACTCTATTGAAAGTTTGAGCATGGTATGAAGTTATTAGCAAACCTGCCACCAAAATCTTTCAATTCATGTGTGATGATGTGGAAATGGTTGCTACAATTTGCATATTTGTTAGTCATTGTGAATTTAAGTTGTTTATTTGTTTGAAATCCCAGTAGTTAACGCCAGTACCATTRTTTTATATCTGATTTCGCTTAGATTTACCCAAAATTTGGTAGGAGATGTCACTATGCTCGATTTACTTTGTCTTCCGATTCAAATCCGGGATTTTCCGGCTGCAAATTTTTATGCTCTAAACTCCTATGCTTTTGCTGATGTTAGGGTATATAGTTACTCTTTTGTAAACTTGAAAAGAAGTTCAAAACAACTTTTACGCTTTTTAGATGTAATTTTAGGATGCAATRTTGATATTTCATTATTAGATCAAATTGTATTAAAGAGCACTRAGAAAGTATTGCATTTTGTTTATTGGAAGTAGTATTTTTTGGGTATATTGCATTTTGCCGCCAACCATCTATTGCTTGAGTTATTGACATTTTTTGGACRGTTTTATTTTTAGATCTTTCACTRYCTTCCAAATCATAAGCAATGAATAGTCATTTCATCCAATTTCTAGAGGTTGAAGATTGAAATATTGGAATGGGACTCTTTATAGCAAAGTAAATTAGTTATTGTCATTGAAATATTGGAATGGGACTCCAATTTAGTTACTGTCATTCAACTTCCCAAGTAAAATATTTTCATCCTTCAATCTACCATCGCAACTCTTCAAGCCAGCTGGGAGATGGCTTGGTACTGTTGGTATGCTTTTCTTAACATATCTAATTTTGTTTAAACTTGTTTGAAGTTTTTGCTCCCAAAGTGTAATACAGTTAGTTTTGGGGTGGTATACTTGCACAAACAGACAAGGCTTTAAGTCAGTTTCTTTTGGGCTTAAGCTCCTTGTGGTCAYTGGCTCTTAAGCGAAGCCAWYAAGCCGACTGTTGTTTCCCTGATTTACAAACATTTGTTTATTTGTTTGGTGTTAAAGATTGAACTTTTTTGTAAAAAAGCCCACCTTACGTGGGTCACTTAGAGCAGCTTAATGAACTTAATTAGGTACAACTTACTAGGTTAACTATACATGATTGTTTGATGGTGCTTATTCAGTAAGCTTCTTGGGATGCATTATGCAGAAAACCAAGTTTTTTTCAAACATGTATCTTCCATTTAAAAAATGTCCTTTCCATCTATGAAAAACTCTCCCAAACAAAAACAATCATAATCTATACAGATAGATTAAACACACAAATGGCTTCTTACCATTAGTTTATACAATTTATATTAATTCCTAGGTAACATCTCCTACATATACAGACCTTTGAACTTTTTTTGTGCATGTCATTATTGGTGGTGGTGGTGGTGGTGTTGGAGCTGTCATCGAAGGTGGAGCTGCTGCTGCATCAACACCGTCTGGAGGTGCAGCTGCTGCCGAGGCATGTGCAGCTGAGGAGAGAAAGGGAGAGAAAGAAGAGAGTGATGATGATATGGGTTTCTCGCTCTTTCATTAAGTTTTCTATATTTTTATACAATGTTATGTTTCCCCTAAGTTTTTAATGTTTATGGCTTCATCTTGTGAAGTTTTGATAYGGTTGGTAGATTATGGATAATGAGGATTTTRTTGAATTATTATGATGATGGAWATTRTCATGTTTCTGTTCTTTAAATKGTATTTTCGGATTGATTGATACTATTTTCTTTACTTGGAATAATTTGTTATTTGTTATAAAAGATTTTTTCAATTTTCGCTGTAGTTGTTGTTTGTTCTAATTTGGATACCATAAAAATTTGGTTTGGTTGGTTTGTTGTTAAGTCTTATATGGATAAAACTGTCTAAGGGGCTGTGTACCAAACATTTACCTGGTAAGTGCTTACCGGTAAAATTTAACATTATTATTTACATATCAAGTAAGATTTTAATCCACCAAAATAGCATTGTATGCAACAATTTACCCGGTAAGCACTTATCGTGGTAAGAGTCGTCGGCCTCACTTACCGAGTAAGATTCGTGGTCCTTGTCTAGCTCTTACCGAATAAGATTTTTGGTCCTTACCATATTTATCTGGTGAAGTAACATGACTTGGTAAGCACTTACCCGGGTAAGTATTTGGTAAACGGCCCGTAAGTGGATCAATATGTGTGTATAGATTGAGAGCGTTTTTGTTTGAAAGATTTTTTTCAAAGATGTAAAGATTGTGTTTTTTTATTGAAATGGACATGTTTAGAAACCACGAGACTTTTTGCATAAAGTTTCCTATAAAAGTTTACTGAATAAGTCACATTTTACATCATTAATGTATAGCTGACTAAATAAGCTATGAGTGTCATTAAACTGTTAAGAAACATAGTTTAAGAGTGTCGTTTTCAAAAGGTTAGTACCAAAGCACCCAAAATGATAAAAAACTCAGTATAATGAAGATACACCAAAATGGATGTTCTAGAAGATCAAAATGAAAGTTTTCAACAAGAAGAAAGGTTTAGAAAGGTTAGGATGACTTACAAATCATTTTTAGGAAGAACCTAAAAACTAGGTCAATAATGGTGGAAATTGAGATGAAGAAGATGAACTCAGATCATGGACCTAAACTTGAAATTTTGATGTTTAGGAGCTCTTAAATGCTCTTGAAGAAATCAATTTAGGAGGAGGAATGTTCTTGGACCAAGAATGTGTGTGTGAGTGTGTGTGTGTGTGTGTGAGAGAGAGAGAGAGAGAGAGAGAAATGAAAAAAGAAAGGAAGAAATCGCATTTAAAGGGGCTACAGATGCTCGCAGGCATGAGCAAAATAGTTGTGCGAGAGCGAGTAGTATATAAATATAGTTATGTCCATTTTTTGAAGTTTGCTCACATACGCGAGCAAAATAGCTGCATGGGCATGAGCAGTGCAATTTTCAACAAAAAGTTGATTTTTTTTTACCAAATACGATAACCAACTCAACCAACATCTATAATTTATTTAAATGATTATAATAAGACCAAATTACATACAAAAACTTGAAATTATGGATACTAAAAACCCGGTGTTAGATACAATTTTGTCGCCTAAGCATGTGAACTAAAATCTTTAATTCTAAATTATCATACCATTTTATTAAAATATACAACTGATTATTATAGTAAATAAGAGATCTCCAATTTGAGGAAAAGATAACCAAATCTTTTGGACCAAGAAGAACCATAATTGACAAAAAACTTGAAGTTAGAAGATTGTCATGTCATTATTTGATTTTTGTGACATTTTATGTTTCAACTTTCTAGAAATGAAGGCGTTACCAAAACTGGTTTTGGTATACCATGAACTCCCAATCCTCTCTTTGTCTTTTGCTGCAACCATGGAATGTGGGAACTTTTCATAATCTTGGAATGTGGGAACTTTTCATAATCTTTATCTTTCTGTTCAATGTCTATTTTTATAAATTGATTTAAAACAAGTATTGAGTATATGTTATATTGTCATTTAACAATCCTTGGCCGGTGAAAACAATGTTGTTTATTGTAAATCATGATGGATTGGTTTAAATATATTGAATTCTAAACTTTGTTCCAAATTTTTGTTGATCGACTGCAATTGGAACAATAACTTTTATTTATTCAAATGTATTAATATGTACAAAACTAAGAGTAAATCATATCATTCAAAAAGTCTTCTCTCGTGAAAACACAAAAAGCCTCAAAATCGTTTACATTTACGACTCCCGTCACATTGCACAACTAGTATATATAAAATGAAGCAACAAAAGGTGACATAAAACTCAATCCTTATAAAAAGATATCAAAAAGTTTAAATATTTGATTTAATTTTATCAAATAAAAAATGCAATTAAAGAAAATCATAAGGTGCTCGTGGACACCAATACTTGTTTTACGCCTCCTCCCTCTGCTTGCCCTTTGGCGATGAAACCCTAGACACAATCCAAATAAACCCCCCGTCAGCTCTCCCTTCATCCTACTTCGATCTTCAAACGATTAGAGTAATTAGGTTTCATACATTCTCCGCTTCCCTGCAATCCGAGCCATGGACGCCCAAAGAGCTTTGCTAGATGAGCTGATGGGTTCAGGTTTGTTTTCTCTTCTTACCCAATCCGCTTCATTCTCATGTTTATGTGTGCGGACTTTCTTCGGTTGCTAATTTTGGGATTTTAGATTTTAATTAAGCTCAAGTATTCGTGCATGTTGGGACCTGAAATTTCGAAACCCTAATTATATAGATTGATATGTTAGCTTATGTTTCGTTCGTTATTGGTGGTGTGTCTTTAGCTCGCAATTTGACTGAAGAAGAGAGAAGGGGACACAAAGAAATCACCTGGGATGATAAGGAAGTATGTGGCTTCTACATGGTGAAATTTTGCCCTCACGATCTGTTCGTCAACACTCGAAGTGATCTTGGTGGGTTTTGTGTTAGTTCCTTCTATTGTATTAGACTAACTTCTGTATGTTAACTGGGTCATGAATCGCTGAAAAAAATAAAAACAAGTTTTTATTTTCTTTTTAATTACTGCTCTTTTTGTATTCTTTTAAGCTTCGAAAGGGTTTCCTTACTTCTTACAAGAATAACCAAAAAATATCGGTGAAAGTAGTTGATAAAGCTAGGCACAACAACAGTTACCTTGAAATTGGGATCAACCACTTCAAAGATTTAACTTTACGTGTTAACTTAGGCAGGGTTTTTATGAATGACTATTGTAAGAGTTACCGTCGTGAATATTAATATGATGATTCTTTCTTTGCATTGTTTCTTATAACAGGTCCATGCCCTAAAATCCATGATCCAAAGTTGAAAGAAAGGTAACAAAATGGACTCTGAAATTTATGATATCATTATCAATTGTATACGTCAAGTAACGTTTATTCCATAACTTCCTTAGGTGTCATCCTTCATAAGTTGCTTCATTATCAGTGATGACAAGCTTATAAAGATGTTTCCCCATGTTTATTTGAATCTAATTGTGCTTTATGCATACAAGTGCGTGCAAGTCTGTTTGTTTCATGCGTTTTTCTTCCTTGCTAACTTGCTTTGCGATTATGGTGTAGCATGGAACTTAACGTGAATCATATGTGGTTTCGACACAATGTATGTAGCTTCATTATACGATATTTAGAAGACTTGTATTCTTGTACCTTTTTAACTTGATTGGTTTGTTGAAATGGGGTGAACCACAGGATTTTTGGTTCCATTTCATGAATTATTACTGTCCTGACTTTTGTTTTCCTGACACATTAATGCTCGAGTGTACTCTTAATATAAAAAACAAGTATCATCCGGCAATAGGGTCCCAAACTGGGTCTACTGGGAGTACTTTAATGTGTTGATCCAATCATCCAACCTAGTCAGCTAACTTGCTTCAAACTGAGATCTGATCTTTTACCTTCTTGTGATGTACCGACCATGGATGGTTTTTATTGTCCTAAATATGGGTGTTAAGACTTCCATTGATTCAAAGAGACAGGATGACCAGAGAGACTTAGTTCAGAACTGCAAGTTCATTAAGGAGTTGGTTTTATGTAGAGAGATGAACCCATTGATGCGACTTTCAATGATCTGATTAACCTCAATCAACGTAGAAACTAGAAAGCGACAAGAGGGAGAGAGATAGAATGAAATGGGAAATCTTTTATTCATGGCAACAGTGAATTGTCTAGTGGTGTGAATCTTTACCTGAAGTCCTCGACCTCATCAATAGAACTATTCTCCAAGTAAGCAACCAAAAGAATTACTTTAAATACCATGTATTTATAGGTTTGTTACTTTTTCCCCTTATAAGTTAAAGGAACAAAAGCTCACTGCTGAGAAAGGTTTGATGAGGGGTTATTGTTTGTTAAACAATGCAATGCCCCGTAGGGAGATCTAGCTTATTGGTCTAGTGCTTCCGGGTGCTTGCCAGTTCTGAATGACTTCACTCAGCTTGCACACATGCACAAGTGTGTAGAAAGTTGAATACCTATATTATTCGAGGGCCCTAATCAAGAGATTATCAGTACGATGACTCCATATTATATTATTATGTACCCTACCAGTTTAGCTACATCTATATAAATGCATCGACATTTATTGTGAATGATATCTTACGTTCTGACATATTTGGTATAAAACTATGAATGGTGACACTTAAAGTTCTTTCTATGATGAAATGGTTCTTTGTCCTGAGGATCTTTCTTATTTTTCTTAGCTTATTTCGATATTCTTGAAAATACGATGTAAGTTTACTTAATGATCTGATACATCATACATCATGGTTGGCAAGAACAAAGTCATGTGGATATCCCACACTGTCTTATTATTCAGCAGCGATTTTATGCTGTTCTTAGTATTTAGTTTAGTTTCCAAGTTCTTTTGTGAAGGTTATGGCAATCATCTTTGAAAATTGTTAATAGTTATCATAGATTTGACGTCTAATTGTGACTTTTAATTTTGTATGTTAAGTGATGAAATATGTGATGCACAGTGGTAAAACTAAGATTCAATTCAAATTGTGCTCTCTTTATAAACACTCATCCATCATGATTTTTAACTGTATTCATAGGCATGAATTTCATGTATTAGGGTATTAGGTGAAATTAATAGCTTGACTGAAAATCTTGAGTTCATACTGTTCCACATGGATATTAATCTTCATTTAGATTTAAGGAGAATATTTGGTGTATTAAATTTGTTCCCTTCCAATTCTTCTTTGTATTCTTTTTGTTTCCTATTTAATCTGAAGCTCCATTGAAGCCAAATAAAACTTCTGCGCTTGGGAGTACAATTAGGATTTGACATTAGAATGCTTTGAACTTGTCTGGGCAACTGTTTTGTGTAAAGCTAATTCTTGCCAGACTCTGATAAGACCGTCGTAATACATACAATGTGTTTGTCCTGGAATTTTCTTCTTATGCTTGGACTTTAAGTTATGTCGGAGGTTTATGCACTAGTTGTGGACATTTTTTTATATCATTATACTTGTCCCTTGCTCCATTTTTTTGTCTGTAGCCTCATGAGTTTTTAACAATTTCTTTTTCTTGTTTGCTGTTTACTCTAGCTTTGAGAGCTCTCCAAGGCATGATTCCTATGTGCCAAAATTTGAAGCAGAACTGGCTCATTTCTGCGAAAAGTTGGCAAGTCTTTTACTTAAATTTTGGAGGATGCTTGTTGCATATCTGTATCAACTTGAAATACGTCGCTTCATAATGTTGCACATCTGCACGATTACTTTGTTTCAGGTCATGGACTTGGATAGGAGAGTTAAGCGAGGTCGGGAGCGCCTTGCTCAGGAGGTTGAAGTTCCTCCTCCCCCACCTGTCCCAGTTGAAAAATCTGAGCAATTATCTGTGCTGGAGGAGAAAATCAAGAACCTGCTGGAATCAGTGGAGGCTCTTGGGGAAGCTGGCAAGGTGGATGAAGCTGAAGCACTCATGAGGAAGGTACTAACTAGCAATTGGTTCCGTAGACTCTAAATTATGTTGGTTACTATAAAACTTGTTTGTTTATGATTGCCACTGTCTACAGGTGGATCTGCTTAACATGGAGAAAACAGCCCTGACCCTGCAACCACAGAGTGACAAAGTATTAATGCTTGCTCAGGAAAAGAAGATGGCTCTTTGTGAAACATGTGGTTCTTTTCTGATAGCAAATGATGCTCTTGAAAGAACTCAGTCTCATGTGACTGGAAAGCAGCATATTGGTTATGGCATGGTCAGAGATTTCCTCGCTGAGTACAAGGTACCAAGGTTCAAAGAACCATATATGTTTGGAGAACCATGAGAACCGGTATATAAACTATGTAAATTTCAGTAAGAATATGCACCAATGAATATATAGTATATAATACATTGATTAATATACTAATTGACACATACATATTTTTATAGTGTATATGCATATACTGGTTCTCATTTGGACTATCGCACACGCGCACACACACACACACACATATATATGGTATGCCATCACATTGCAAAGATTTTTTTTTTTCCTTTTTGTTTTCCGACGATGAACTTAACTTGTAATTACCAGGAGGCCAAAGAGAAGGCAAGGGAAGAGGAGCGGCTGGCAAGGGAGAAAGAAGCGGAAGAAAGGAGGAAGCAGAGAGAAAAGGAAGTTGAAGGTAGACGTAGAAGTGGATCAGCTGACAGGGACAAGAACCGTCATAGGGAGTGTGACCGTCGAGACCGTGAAAGGTCCCGAGATCGGAACAGTAGAGGCAGTCGTGATATGGGAAGAGCATCAGAGCGTAGGCACAACAGTTTTAGAAACGGAGGAGACAGGAGCAGGGATAGATATCGCGAGCGTGACAGGAGCAGGTCCCATTCCCCTGCTAGGCATGGGGGGCGCAGGAGGTCATCCAGAAGTCCATATTAGTGAAATCTGTAGATAAATGTCTCTGGATTTGAAGTCAGAAGAGGTAGACGTCCTTCCATAACGTTCATTCTATGAATGTGTGTGTGTTTTGGAGTCTCAAGGTATAATGTGTTTTTCATGGGTGAACCTCTTTTTTGTTCTCACAGCTTTGTTGAGACTAATCTCCTCCTATCATCAATGTAACTAGAGGAGAAAAAGAGTCAGAGGTAGGTATTACACTTCATTGTTGCATCTCTTTCATAATCTTTTTGAGGATTTGGTTTGAACTAATTGTTCTAAAAGGTTTTTGCTGAAGTATCATTCCACTAGTTTATCCCTTTTGCTATTGGGGTGACTGTGGAACCATATCCTTGATTTTATAGATTTGGTTAATACAAATTAGTATTCCTGCTGCTGAAAGAAATCATGGTTTTCCACCGGTATGACGTAAATCTTGAATCCTTATTGGTTGAATCTTTATGAGGTAACCATATTCCTTGCATATTTGCTTTTATAACTTTTTGTTCCCACTTTATCATAATTAGGAAGTCATTGTGGTGAGGTTAATGAATGAAAATTTGGTTTCTGGGAAGACAGAGCTATGGCTAACTCATGCATTATTATGGAAGAAATAAAGGAAAGGTATCTTAACTGCTATATAGGCATACAATAGAATACAAGAATAGGGAACCAAGTATTTCATAAATGTACTGCAGGTTTCGAAGGTGATATGCAGCCTCCCTCCCTCCCTCCCTCCCTCCATCCATCCATCTGAAGTTGATTGTTGTATGTGTTGAGTGATTGGTTCTAAAAGTGTCGTTTCTGCCAACCAACCGAAAGTTGTAACATGCAGGTACAACGCCTTTTGTTTTTGCAGGAAAGTTGATCTTTGTGATGATCATCCGTTTGTTGATTCTCTTGCTTTGCTTCTTATAGGAGCACTAGAGGTACAAAGAAATTGTTCCATTTCTTGCTTTCCCTTTCAATCTATTTGTCTAACCCCAAATCAATTGAAATTTATGACCTTATAAGACCTTGGTTTATCCTAGGAAAATTGTATGTATTCAAGAAATTCCAAACTTGTTTGTGGTTAATGTTAAGTCAGCCATTTCTTTTTGATGTTTTAGGGTATAAATAAGTAAGGAACGTACGAAGAGTAACATTTTTTTAGTAGTCTATATATATGTATGTATATATATGTATGTATATATATGTGTATATATATATGTATACTCTCCCCTACAGTGTAACCATTCATTTTCCATAAACATTAAAATCAACTTGATAACAAGTTTTTGTCGGGTTTCTGAAACTAAAAGAAAACGCATACGAACCCAGTTCTTGATCCAAGTTTTCGAAAATGTTCCCTTTCGTTTGTTCATGTATCTTCATTTCAAAAATTGGATTGAAATAAGGTTAGTTTTGGTTCATTCTTGCTTGGTTGCTTGCTAGTGGTGGTGCAGGTGGGGATTTGGAGTTGTACAGCCACTGTAAATATAAAACAGAGCGTTGGGTTGATTGATATCAAACCATGAGGCCGGTTTCTTCAGATGGATTTAGTTATGTGATAAACAAGTTTTTAAAAACACTAGTCAACCGCTCATGTAATCTACTTGTATGTTCCTTACGCCAAAAACTAAATTAATGATCAAAATCTATTATTTTCTCCTCACATTGACGACATTTTAACTAAACAAAAATCCTCACTCTCAGTTTTTCCATTTTGTTTTTCATAAAGTCATATTTGTGTTTGTTTATAGATATGAAAGGGGTTGGGTTCAAACAAGAATCATACCATTTTATGAGCACGATTCATCTACATTTTTTCATATTAAATTTAAAGAAAAATAAAAAATATTTATTAATAAAACAAGCTATAGTTTTAAAACAATTCCGAATAGTTTCACAAACCATAATAACTAATCTATAAATTTGAGACTATAAAAACGGAAACTGTTGAAAACGATCCTACATCATTTTTTAATATTTACATTTCTTCCTGCTGATTTATATATTTAAAAACATTTCAAAAATAATCTAAAGAAGATAAATATGCATTTTATTTATCTATGGATGATTTTTACTTACTTCGGTTTTTAGACACTTTTTTTCATCACTCTTTGATCATCAAATCTGCAAATTATGGAGAAGATTTGACACCAATATCAGAATTTATCACCAATAAGGTATACTATTTGTGTTATTTAACATTTAGGTTCATTGATACTTGTAGAAAAAAATTAAAATTCAAGCAAAACAAATTATTTAAGGCATTTACTTCTCGAGAAGATTTAACAGAGTAGGTGCGTAATGTGGGATGCTCAACCGATTGTGTTATTATTGTCATCCTCTCAATTCGTTGTTTTTACAAAAGGATACACTAATGTTAAGTATTACGTAAGATTAATATTAGTAGGAGATTACCCAGTGCCCCCAATTACGCCACATTGGAGATCTACCGAGACAGCTACATGGACTACCCATATCAAGATTGATTAAAAGTATACGAAGAACATTTAGCGCGTAATAATACTCGTTAATATGTTGGTTTAAATGAATGATAATATCATAAACATTATTTTATCTTTAATAATGTCTTTTGTATTTTTTGTTGCTTTAAATGATTGATGATGTCACAAATGTTATTCTATCTCTAATAATGTCTTTTATTTTATAAAACTAGAAGCGTACTCGTGCAATACAGCGAGATACAT